CAGAGTGACACGTATTAGAAGAGTTGTCACGTTAGGTAACCCTGATGACAAGTTTCTTTTACTCTTTGTTGTCGCACAAATAATGGAAGCAGCTATGAACGTACTGTTGAAGCACAACTTGTTCACAGCATCCATGCTGTTTCCACATTTTAACCTAAAAGCACATGAACACACCAAAATTGGAAACCAGAGTGACCTTCCAACTTGGAAGACAGGAAGCTCCTATGATTGTGCTACAACTATCAACTAGAAGTAAGAGTAATTTTTTCAAAAGTAAAGAATTTCATTGAAGAAATTAAAATGATGTATCAGCTGCTCATCAAAGCATTACTGAATGTTTTAAAGTATTTTCTTCGCATTTTTATGAGTCAAACAATTTCACTGTGGATAACTTACGTATGTGTTTTTTTATGGTACAATTTGAAAAGACAATTCCATCATGGTTTATTGTTAATCAGAGAAAATCACTGTACAATGTTATGGATATACTTTCAGATGCATTATTATAGGCACAAGTCAATAACACTAACTTTATTGTGTGATAAAATAGATAGATAGATAGATAGATAGATAGATAGATAGATAGATAGATAGATAGATAGATAGATAGATAGATAGATAGATAGATAGATAGATANATAGATAGATAGATAGATAGATAGATAGATAGATAGATAGATAGATAGATAGATAGATAGATAGATAGATAGATAGATAGATAGATAGATTTACATCCAAGCTGAATTCTTTCATTATCCATTGCTCTCAAAACCTTGAAGTTAAAGACAATTTCTCAGGCCCATATGTGACAAGACACAACACACAAGTTTGTTTGTGCTTTCCTGGATATCAAATCCTACAAACTGTGCAGTCATACAGTTGGTAATGTTAGCTCACGATGACTCATGTATTGACGGAGGCATTCGCAGTCAATTTATTTTAGATTTTCAAAAATATCAACTCTGACAGGTGTTATTGTCTGTCTTCTGACTTCACCTCAACAACGTGATGGGGGAGACTGCGGAGGGGGGCTGAAGTAGGGGACACTTATTTTACTGTCTCTGGTCCTTCTCAGACCACTTACTGATCAGATGAAATTTTGAGCCGGCCTGCATGAACTGGTAGTTCAATAGTGCCATCTTCTGGAAGAGGCTGTCCGTTGTGCTTCTTTTTTTTTTACTTGTGTTTTAACATTTCATATATGATGTTGCACCCTCTCTCAGTTTACCTTTCTTACACAGCCTGTTCACGTTCACAGCTAACAATGCTTCTTTTCCCCAAACTTAAACTAGTAGCAAAAATATCGATGATATGATCAATTCAGCAGCAGGCGAGGGTAGACGTGTTTTCATGCAGCAGGAGTAGACTCATACAACTTTCGTTCTTGCAGTGCTGCCTGTGATATTGATCTGCTATTAGTCAGGCAATTACAAGGATGATATTTGTACAACTGCTGAAGAATGTAGACTCTAAATAACAGAGGTCTAAATGTTTCAAGGTAAAATATGCATGAAGGTGTGTGAGCAACAACAAATTAGTGTCAGATATGCAACAGAAAGCATAGCAAGTGGTAGGATAAGGAGCAGGAGTGGTAACAACACGCAGACAGAGCGAAAAACATTCCTTTTGATGTTTATAGTCTTTGATTTTTACAGCTGATACTGACCTAAAATCGCAGAATTTCACAATGACTTATGGGAATAGGAATGATTTTTTTCAGTCAACATATGTACACTAAACACACACAGGTATTTATACAAGGACAACAGGCTAAGAAAGGAAACTAAACTTTGAACTACTACGTGCAGCTATAGATACATGTTAAAAACCATTTTTAGAAGCAAACCAAAATTTTAGCACAAATTGTGTAGATTCCGATGATACAGGAATAAATGCAGTTATTAAAAAATATTAGGTTAATGAGGCTTTATATATGAGGTAGGTGGTGGATGCAATAGAGCAGGGAGCAATGTACCTGGAATAACAATATAAACAGGTATAGGATATATGGTATGTACAGTGGTTCAGGGATGGGGATTCAAGATTTAAAGATGCAGCGACTGTTCAGTATTAAGGATTCCTGTCATTATAGACACTTTGGGATTTCTGGGCATGAATTTGGCATCGTAACAAAATTCTGAAGTGTATTTTTCGCTCTCACTTACCAGTGTGTTCACTTTGTTAACCGAAGACTGATCTTAGACCAAATGAGCTTTGTTCCACCACGAGATGACCGACATATTGCCGGAGGGTGAGTGAGGAAACAGACAGAGTCCTCTCTTGCACAGCTCTGGGGCCAAGAGCCTGCCACAGTGTTCCCAGGACTGTCATCGCCATCTGCCAAATGAGACAGCATTGGTTACTCAGATGCATTTAAAATCTGCCTACATTGGGCTTTCAGAAAACAAACAAATATTTTACATGTACTATACTTTGAAAATACTGACATTGCACTTGACTAAAATTTGACATTGCATTCAGTCTTTTTTTTTCATTTAATGTATCTGAACATTATGTTTTTTTGTTTTTTCAAAAAACGAATTAAGGATGAATATGCTAATTTGGATTTAATTTGCACCATTACAATAGGTTGACAGAATGTGTTGACAGCAGAGAGCTGACCTGGCCGGCTGCTATCCAGCAAACCATGACAAGAAGGCTATTTATTAAGATTTTACAAATAAATTATACAGTCATGCTGGTTCTCACTGAATATATTGGATATATTTTATTTTTATATTTTATACACACAAAACATTTAAAGGTCCTATAATATCCCCCTTTTCAGCAAATAATAAAAGCCTCCCATGCCCACACAGTGTGTTTTCAGTTATTTTAGCCCGAAATATTTCAAACATGGTTCATTTCAGCGTGACTGTATAACCTGGTTTTAGGATTGTTCTTATGTTGTGCTCTAAAAACCAGTGAGCTGCTGTGTCCACCATTTTCAGACGCCAATCACAGTTTGAGCTAGCAAACTATTGGTTAGTTAGGCGTGACGTAGCACCCTGGTCAAAATCTTATTGGATTGTAAAGCTTGAAGGTATCTAGTTGTAGGGGGTTTTATGGCTGATGTAAGTAAACGTCTTTACTTCAAGTTTATAACAACCTCAAAACACAATAAAATTGATTTTCACTACATGTGACCCTAAAATTGCAAATACCTTACTAAACAACTTAAAAGTAATATAATATTGCACTAATAATCTTGCCTATTGATTTAAATTTTTGTTTTCCCTTGAGTGATCACAATGTTTGACTATGTTGCATCGATATGTACTTACATATTGTGACCACAGGGGGCAATGTAAAAGCTGAGTAATAAGTATGATGCCTAGAAATCAACCAGACAGTGAGCGGATGCCACTGAGCACTTGGAGGTAGAATTTGTAATATATACAGAGTCTATGATAGTTAGAGACGGTCACTGGACTGCAATAACACGTTAGTATACTCGTGATGGTCATCAGCTATTCCTCTGCACAGCACTCAGCTGCCACAGCCAAAGCAAACACAATAGAGCATAATCACTTCTAGTCTGCACTTTAAAATAAAGGTGTTCTCATTGTAACCACGGGAGTAGTGTGCTCAACTCAAACTACTCTTTACAGACTGTGGCCCACACTGTGGATTTTTCAAAGCAGAAAAGTGTCCCTTTAAGACCATCATTTTCTACTATTTGCTGCTCTTATCCCAGTCTTGCTTGAAATGTTTCCAAAAGAAAAGAAAAACCTTTAATGAAAAAACATTAGAACTACCCCTACAGCAGCTCTGCAGGTTGAAATGGGAGCAACTCCAATGGGACGAGAAGGTTACAGATATAACTACTGGGTTAATTTGCAGGGTCACAATCAGGATCACTTAACACAGGACACTTTAAAACCCTGCTGGGAGGAGAGGAGGGAGACAAAAAGCTCTGGGTGGTTGGTAACACAGACAGTAACAGCCCTTCAAGCAAATCCATTAAGCAGAAGTCCAACAGTATCATTACCCTCAGTACAACCATGGATAGTTCCTGATGGCTCAGTAGACTTTACATGATTAGAAAAAAAAACCTTAAGGACAAGAAGTTTATTTTATTTCTAACTCACATACTATACATTGATAGTCACCACAGTCCATAGTGTGCAATGATGCATCTAAGAGTGGAGGAAATAACATAGGTGTAGAATTATTGCCCCAGAGTTCAATCTTCAAGTTGGAAAAAGTAGGAACTATTAGTGTACACAGGAGAAATTCTTGCAAAATTGTGAGCACAGCAGTGGATAGAGAACAAATAAATCAAAATCACTGAGAATAATCATTTGTTTGGACTAAAACTCACCACTGGCCAGTTTACTGACATCTTGGTAAAATACAACAAACCTTACACTGAATTCAAACAATGGGACTTACAGTAACATTCTTTTGGGTGCTGACGCATATTGGAATGAAAGAACATGAAATGGCAGATAAGACCGTAAAGGAAGCCACAAAAAGTACTCACACTGATTGGGAAGTTAACTTCAGCAGGACAGAAACAAAGAGCATCATTAAGCAGAGACTGAAGAAAAAGGTGGCAAAAGCAAAGGATGGTGATTTTACAGAGTTCAAAGGAAAGTGAGAGAAATGAAGCGTGCAGAACAGAGCAGGAGGGAGGAGATAATAATATTAAGGGTGAGATTTAAACAGAACACTATTCAAACCAGACAGCTGTAGGGAGGAAGAGACAGCAGAGTGTCTTATAATACACTGAAGGAAATATGAGGGAGAAAGAGCTGATGAAAAACCTCAGAAATATTAAAGTAAAATTTGACATTATAGACATTGTATGAATCAACTCAACAAATGTATGCAATCAAATCATATTTCAGTTTCTTAGACAAACTAATGAGGCCGAGATAATGAGTTTTTTTTTAACCAGTGGTGTAAATACCAGACGGTGTAATTCACACTCCCACCTGATGGGGGCGGTGATGCAGCCACTGGCTGTCTGACGCACTTTTAATGGAACAGAAGGAGGGCGGTTTGAAAGCGAAGAGGCAGTTTTGTGTCAACATGTGTGAAATAAGACAAACTACCTGATATGACCGAAGTTTCTGCTCGCTGACAGTAAGATACCTCATGTGCAAGGTATCCGAGACTAAACGTAGTTGTGTTGTCGCCTTCGTTAAAACGAAGCTAATGTTAAATGAACTTGGTATGCTAGTTAGCTAGCTGCTGCCTGCCTGTCTGACTGCCTCATCAACTTCTGTCTCTGTTGGATTTATTGCACCACAACATCAGTATAAATCCTCTGAAGATGGCGAGTGTGCACGAAAGTTTGTATTTCAACCCCATGATGACGAACGGAGTGGTCCATGCTAACGTGTTCGGTATCAAAGACTGGGTGACTCCGTACAAGATCTCCGTGTTGGCGCTGCTCTATGAGATGACCGCGTCCAAGATCACCCTGCCAGAGAGAAGGAGACTCAACAAGCTCATCCTGCCCCTGCAGCAGGTCGGTGTTGTGGATCTATTTATCCCGTATCTGCCTTGTTGCAGCCTCGTTCACCCTGTTTCATTGTGCTTCACCAGGGTCCAGACCTGACTCTCGGCCAGTTCCTCAAGACTGTGGAGGAGTGCTGTCCTCAGACTGCTTATGCTGTCAAACTCAGGTGTGCTACCTCTGTTCTAAAAAACACTGACATGCAGCCTTGTAGTCATCATTAGTATTCTGTTAAGCTACTGATGCTTTCAGGGTCTCTATAAGTAAAGGAAATTGTATTGTGTCATATGGAGCCTCAAGAAAGGTGACGAACTACATGCAAAAAAAAAAAACAAAACGTGTTGGGATTATTTTGACACATAGATATATGAGTATATTTGGAATATAAGTCATGATTTCAGGAGGGAGGGTTTTTTTTGTATTTCTTTTCCACGGTAATGATTATAAAAATGGCAGATTTTTGCTGCAGACTGCACTGAATAAGTATGTCTACAGAATATGATTTGTAAGCTGAGACATATCTGGAGTATGTCTGTGCTTAATTTGTAATGATATGTTGTGATACATTTTACATTTATCCAAAAAGAAATTGCAGCTCCTGGATATGCCTTTTGGCTACATTGCAATTTAGATAATATTTAGATCTATTGTTTAATACAAGCATAAAAACCTAGAAGCCAGGCTTAATGTTGTAGCAAGAATAATAATAACAACAGTAATAATAATAAACTTTATTTTTGTAGAGCTTTTCAGAAACATCCAGCCATCCATTATCTATACACCGCTTAATCCTCACAAGGGTCGCAGTGGGGCTGGAGTCTATCCCAGCTGACTTAGGGTGAAGGCAGGGGACACCCTGGACAGGTCACCAGTCTATCACAGGGCTACACTTAGAGACAGACAACCAAGCACACTCACATTCACACCTACGGACAATTTAGAATCCCCAATTAACCTCAACATGTTTTTGAACTTTGTGGGAAGAAGCCGGAGAACCTGGAGAGAACCCACGCTGCACGGGGAGAACATGCAAACTCCACGCAGAGAGATCCAGGGTGTCTTCACCAGGACGCAAACCAGTGACCTTCTTGCTGCGAGGCAACGGTGCTAACCACTGATCCACCTTGCAGCCCCTTTTCAGAAACAGAGCAACCAAAGTGCTTTACAAGATAAAAAATATGAATTCTACGGTAGACAGTCATTACAACTATTTTAAAATAGCCTAAATGTTATGTAACATGAAGCAAAAGAAACCTACATATGGGAGGGACTAAAATACATAAAGTGAGATAAAATAACGAAACTGATCAATCAACAACTACAGAATTAAAGAGAAGTCTGTTCAAGATCTGTTTAAGTCTGATTTGGCTCATGATGTGTCATGGTGTTAACAAGATGAAAAGAATCATTTTCACCAGAAGACTTCCTTGCTCAGGATTTATTTATTTTTTTAGCATTTTTTTTAATTTAACCTTTATTTAACGAGGTGTGTCCCATTGAGACTGACATCTCTTTTACAAGAGAGCCCTGGTCAAGAGGGCAGCAACAAGGGTTACAACAATGCAACACAAAAAATAAACTAAATAATATATCATCACTATAAGGCATTTCTGCCTTGAAACTGCAGTGTACTAATGACAATCCTAAAAACACAAAGTCAGACAGCCAGGATTACATCTATAACAAACCTAACGAAGCCGTCAATGCCAACTTGCTTCCCATATTATTGTTATTCTTGAAAATGGTCTCTAGTTTAATCAGGGATATGAGCAGGACTTTAAGTCACATCTTAGAACCTATTTGACTCCTTTTCAGGTGAAGCTTCTTTTGCACAACGTTTAACTTACTTTTAAATTATTTTAAATTGTTTTTAATAATTGTCCACCAAACAATTATCTTTTGTCTTGTAAAGCCTTTTGTAAACTTATTTTTTAAGGTATCTGTGAGCAAAATTATTATTATTATTATTATTAATATCATTATAAATGACCAAAGATGGACTTTAACTATCAAAATTAATTCCAACCACAAACCCTCTAACATGCATTTATAAAAAAAACAAACAAAAATGTTTTTAAAGGGATTTAAAAGACAAGAAAGAGTTCTCCATTCTGATCTCCTAAGCAAGGTTGTTCCAGAGAGTAAAGACTCTAACAGAAAAAGTACAGACATCCTTGGCCCTCGGCCTAGTTTGCAGAATGGCTAACAGAGCCTTAAATAAGGGCCTTCAGTTGCAACTAGTCAAGTATGGTGTTTTGGGTGGATCCAGAGTGGACCTTAAAAGTTATCAGTTGTATCTTAAAAATACTTCTGAAATGTACTGGTAGCCAGTGAGCTTTAATAGGAGCAGTGTGTTCTTCTTTTGTCTTTAGTGAGGAGTCTGGCTGCAACAATGTATGGAGACAATGTAATATCACAATAATGTTGACATGTGGTTGATGAAGCTCTTACATTTTCTTCAAAGGTTGCATGAAATGGCGGATGGAGAGCTGAAAGACATGGAGTACTTCTTTTCCACGCTTCCCACCCCATTCACTGCTTTTGATTCTGAGGCTTATAAGACCAGTGTTGTGGGTAGGTAGTTTCTCATATGATATTCCTGAAGTCTGATTGGAAGTCCCTAAAATGTCTGTATTATACTTATTGAGAGTTCTTGTATGAAGCTGTATTTCACCTGCTTTGTAGGTCTGTTTATGAGGCACATGCTTCTGGCCTACAACAAGCTGTCTTTCAGTCAAGTGTACAAGCTGTACAAGTCCCTGCAGCACTACTATCACAGTCACTATGCCAAGCCCATGGATGGGCAGGTGGGTTTGCCGGCGCTGGTCGCAGACGACTCAGACATGGACCTCACCAGCACTGAAGATACTGTAGGAGACCGAGTGGACAAAGAGGAGCTGGACACACCACTGCATGTGTCAGAGCTTCGGTTAGTGCTGCTGTTCTTGGATGAAATCACTGTCTAATTTGGTGGACCATTTTATACTCTCAAGGGACCTATTACTTTGTGAAATGTAGCCACCGTGTCTATGCCTGAAGTCTAAACCAGAACCCCCTACATCTTAGTAATCTGAAAGGACTTTTGTTTTTTTAGTTATTGCAGGCAGGACAGTTGTTAAGAGCTTATTCTTATGTGCCTCCTGTATTTCGCCTTTGTTGTAGAAGTGAAAATTCTCCAAGCAGAGGTCCCCTGTCACAAAAACAAGCAGAGTACTTTCTTGCAAGACAGGTGAGTGTTGATATTAAGGCTAAAACGAACTGAAGTATTCAGTGCAATCATGTTCAAATCAGCGGATTTAATGCTGTAGATAAAAAATTAGCCATCCGCATCCTGTGTGAAACCTAGATGTGCTGCTGTGTCCTGCACTTAAGGGCTCTTACGGTTTTTCAAAACATCTGTCTGCAGGCTTATCTTCTGAAAAACGATGAGAACAAAGCCCTAAAGCCTGCTGCACTGCAGGAAGAGCTCAACAACATGCTGAAGTTTAACCCAGATTTTGCTGAAGCGGTACCTAACTTTTCCAGTAAAATTATTATGTCTACCAGAGGGGGGGTATCTCCTTCATCATCTCAGCGGGTTGTTCTTTTAAATCTTTGTCTCCACAGCATTACTTGAACTACTTGAACAGCATGAGAGTCCAGGACATCTTCCTGTCAGCTCACAGTCTCTTACATTATTTTGACCGACTCATCTTGTCTGGTAATGAGGGAAAGAGCAACGGGGACGAGGGCTACGGCCGAAGTCTCCGCTACGCTGCTCTTAACTTGGCAAGCCTGCACTGTCGCTTTGGCCACTAGTGAGTACAAGAGTTGGTGGTTTTGAATAGATGGAGATGTTCTTCAGAAAAGAGTAAATGCATTTCTTAGACAGATGTTTTCCCTTGTCTTTCTTTTCAGTCACCAGGCTGATCTGGCTCTGCAGGAGGCCATCCGCATCGCCCAGGAGTCCAATGATAATGTGTGCTTGCAGCACTGCCTGGTAAAACAAACAAGTTCAGCTTATTAATTTTCACTTCACTTCAGTGATGGTGCCAAAATGGATTGTTAATGATGTCTAATGTAACACGAGTCTTCTGCATCAGAGTTGGCTGTACACACTGGAACAGATGAAGGGATCTGACAGCACAGTGTTAACAGAGGATTCAGTGAAAATGGCCGCCCATTTCTGCCTGCCAGTAAGTGCATCATGAGGTCTTAAAATATAATAATATATTAAAATGGCTTTGGCTGTTCATTATGTTTTTTAATTGCTTTGGCTGAATTTTCACAAGCACCTAAATGTGCAGGGAATGCAATGCACAAAATTAAAGTCTGTGTATCAAATTAAGATAATGCAAGAGCAGGACAACATTTTACACAGAAAGCATATAATGGTCATCATAGCATTTTAATTAGAGTTTGATTTGAAAACACAATGTTTATTTTTTTATCTAATAATGCAAGAGTCAATTGTACATCCATACAAGGGAAAACAATGACTATTATTTTATTTCTCTGAATTAGTTTGCTGTTGTGCCAATACAGGCGGTTAATATTTTAAAGATTGAGCATGGACTTTGGAGTTTTGCACTGTAGCAACAGCATTTTGTGTTTGAAGATGAAAAGCGTTTTACGCATTGAAATTCTTGTGAACACTGAGCCCAAGCTGCTGTGACATTCAGCAGCAGAGACGTGTTAATTATGTAATTAAACTATATGTGCAGCTGCTGCACTGGGAGTATTAGATCAACATGTTTAGCCATCGACAGCAGTAGTAAGCAGTAACTAAGTACATTTCCTCAAGATCTATATTTTATATTAAATATCATACTTTGAGGTTATCTGACAGCTTTACTTTCTTGTAAGATAACGATTTTATACAATAGAGAACATAACACACCTTTAAAATTCAGCACACATTTAACGGTTAAACCAGTGGATTCTAAAATTTTTGGCTTCTCACATCTTACAAAAAATCTCATGTTTCAGACGTCTGATTTGTTAACAGCTCTGCTAAATAGTGATGTTTCCCTTTAACCTTGTCACATAGTTTAATTTCAATAAATGCTCAAATGATTGGAGATCTCAGCAAAAATCTAAAACTCGAGAAAAAGTGCAAAACTGGAAACATTTGTGTGTCAGAACTTTGTTCTTTCTTCTTTCCTCTCCCATTTATCATGTGGATAATTCTCAGATTTATCTGTTGTAGCTGTATATAAAACTGTATGTACAACAGTTGAAATCCTCCACCTGCAGCAGCTACAACAGTAAAAGGCTGCTGCTGACATGCAAATGCTTCATTATTAATATTCTAGTGATGTCATATATATAATATATATTTTAGCCAGAAACTGAAAGGAATAAGTGAATTAATTCTAGTTTGTGAATACTGACTACATTTGGCTGCCGATGCTTGTATACTTTTATTTAAGCAGGACTCCTCATGCACAACTTTAACTTGTACAGGAGTACAAGCATTACTATAATTGACCTTTTTTACTTAATTAAAAGATGGTCAGCTGCACTTTAGCATTTTAATTGACAAAATGAAACAGAAAAATTCACATAATACTACATTGACAGATAGCTTGATGACAAGAAGAATTGCAAATTAATATGTGACTTGTCCCACATTACAGAAAGCGTAGCAGAGTATTTTGTCTATCAGTCGTGTTGCTTGATGTAACCTGACCTTTGTGCATTGATTTGTGAAGTGTGTTGTCCGTCACACTAATCAAGTCTCTCTCCTGTAGTACTTGGCCTCTCTGGGCATTCAGTCTTTGGTCCAGCAGGGGGCGACACAGGGTAAGACAGCACACAAACTGATGGATGCTCTGAAGGACACAGACATCCTGCACTGGAAGCACAGTCTGTCGGAGCTGATTGAGATCAGCCTGGCTCAGACTACATCCATATGGAGGATGTACGGAAAGAGGTCAGGCTTTTCACCTTGCCACCCCAACACACAGTTGTCACTCCTGTTCACTGTTGACTGCATACAAGCACACAAGCTTCTTCCTATTCACATTCAATCAGCTCTGAGAAGCATCTCAGACGTCTAATGTTTTCATGCATGGATTCACTTTTTGGATAGCAGAACATTCTTTGCATGAGTTAGACTTCTCATGAGCATGAAAGTAAAGCACCACAGAAAACTTCATTTTTTTTTCTGAAAGTCATTAATGTGGCCTCCTGTGTCTTGCGCAGCACCATGGCTCTGCAGCAGGCCCAGCTGCTTCTCAACATAAGCAGTCTGGAGCCAGTCAACTTCGGGGTCCAGCAGAACAACACTGAGGCCTTCGCAGTGGCTCTCTGCCACCTGGCCGAGCTCCATGCTGAGCAGGTAACACATTTGATTTGATCTCGTCTGCTTGTTTTGTGCCCCGCTGTTGCATATCTATTAGCCAGTCGCTGGGAGGTTTTATTACCTTCCCAGTTTTGCATGACGGTAATAAACATTGATCAGGGCTGCTTTCCAGCTCCTGGGTGCTGTTAAACACATGACTCATTGTCCCATGTACCTTTGCTTCTGTTGCAGGGCCTGTACAGTTCCGTTTCAGAGATTATCCAGCATCTGAAAGAACAGTTTCCTCCTCACACACAGCATGCCAAGGTGCCTTTTCTTAACTATGATGTGTTGTTCAGTGCTGTGCTACTGTACAAAGGCAGAGAGCAGTGACGGCAGAGGGTAACGCTGACAAACGACAGTTTTCAGGCTGAAAAACTGAGTAAAACTAGCTGGAATGTCTTTGTGGAACTACATAGCAAGTCAAACACACAGATTCTTCTTTCTGCTTTTGGTTGATGTTTGCTGGATTCAAAGGGAACAGTTAAAGGGGAATAATGTGTTCTCTCCACTTTCTCATCTATTTTAAGTAGATTTAAATTGACAGTTCATAGGGATTACGTGTTTCTGTTTTGCCACTATTCGCACTTGAATTTAAATTCACATAATTAATTAATTTCTAAATGTGGTACATTTAAATACCGTAAGAGATGTAATGGTAAATAAACCTAAAGCCCAAAGCTGAGATGGCAGTTTACTGATGCTCTGCTAAGCTAACAGAAGTTTGTTTTCCACGATAAATTGTTTTTGTTATTACCTCGTTTACTTTTGTCAAATAGAGCACTAGAGTAAAATACATATTTTTCTGTTACAAATAAAGGCTGGAGCAATATGCAGGTTTTTAGCTTTCACCAGGTCTAACTCTGACTAACAAGTTAGTTTCCTTTAGCAGAAGTTACCTATCTCACAGTGACAGTAACTTTGACGGCACCTTCTAAATAACATCACAGGGAGAAATTACTGTCGTTTATTTTGTGTTTTAACTTTGTTTTGTTATGCTTAGTAGCTTTAAATAATTGCAGCCCAGAGCTGGACTACTTTTTTCTACTGAAACCATTTCTTGTCGTATAGGTGTGCAAGTGGACGTGTGTTTTTCGTAGGTGAAGCAAAACAAACTTTATAATACAAAGCCATCAAATGGATGACATGTTGGTACACAAACAGCATCCAAAACACAACAGAGTCAAAAGTATTAACAGTTGTTTAGGTTGCTTTTATTGAAAGCAGACACCATCTTCTCCCTGGCTGTAGCCGAAGCCAGCGCCTGCGTCACTCTGCTGTGGGAGTCTCACCTGGTGGTGCTCAAACTTACTTCTTGCTTGACATTTCGCCTTTGAAACAGTGAGGAGAAAAATGTTTGTCACTGTCTCTAACACCTGATCTACAAGCTTTCTGCAGGACACAAAATAAACATCCCCTGCAAAAAAAAAAAAAGAAAACAAGGGGCAGCTGTGTTTAAAGATCCTCTGATTTCGCCCTGTCATCTGGAAAATGTATAGGAATCCCTTGGGCTGTCCTGTTCACGTAGGCTATGTCTGTGCATGAACAGAAGTGCCCCCTTTTGTAAGCTGGCTGGAGTAGTGTTGTGTGGATTGATGTGCGCTACTTGTTTAGTTTTTTATCGCATTTAAAGAGCCAGAGCAAGAATTGGATAGAGAGTGTATTTGATTAGACTAGCTTGTTCCACTTTGAAATGCTTTTTTCTGTAATGTGATGTTAATGGTTGCTTTTTTGTTGACTTAACCCCTAATTCAGCTCTGGATGCTGTGTGATCTAAAAATCCAGTTTGAGAGACACATGAACGAAGGAAAATACCACTTGGCAGAGCCGCTTGTCACAGCCATCTCTGCCTTAAACAAAACAGAGGGTCTTTACAGGTAACATCGAAGCACAAATCCTCCCAACAATGCCTGCATAATACATGTGTAATTTGTGCTGTAGAAGTAACACTGTGTTCGCTGACAGGAAAGCTCAAGTTCTGAAGGCTCTGAACCGCAGCACCGAGGCGTACAGCATCTTACAGCAGCTGCAGGTTCACTGTGAGAAGACTAAATGTACCGAGATGGTGATCAGGTGATATGCTTCTGCTTCTGTCTGAATATATTCAGATATCATTAAGGTGTTAAGTTCACATTATGCGTCATCCTCACAAGTACAAACTGTTGTATAATACCATGTTTCTTCAAAAAATGCATTTTCTTGGCCTACGTGCTTTTCCAGGGATCAGACTGAGCTGCGTTTTAACTCTTGTCTACATCACTGCACTTTCATGTCTCATACAGAGTGATGCTGTCCACTGCTGAGCTGCACTGGGAGTCGTCTGGCTTCTCCACAGCTCTTCCTCTCCTCCTGCAGGCCTTGGCTCTAGCTAGACAGCACCACCTACAGTCCCTGGCCTCAGAAACCATCCTTCATTTGGCCTTCACTCAGGTCAGCCAAGACAGGAAAACAGACTTCACTCCAACACTGTTAGACTTTCCATCCATGCAAATTGCCGCTGACTTTGTTTTGCATGCATGGTTTGTTTACTTTGTTCTCTCTGCTTCCTGCAGCTGATGTTGGGAGTTCCTGAGCAGGCTCTGAATGTTCTGCACGAAGCCATCGAGCCTGTCCTGGCCCACGGAGCAGTCATGGACAAAGGCCGCGCCATGCTGCTGGCAGCTCGCTGTCAGATGGCGGTGGCTGGGTTCAGGCCAAACGGACAAGGGCAAGCAGGTAACAGCATCACCCCTCGCCCCCGCTCTGAATACAGATTTGCTTCTCATAGTGTTGTGCTTTTCTTCATTTACATGTACACACTGCTGCTTATTGTGTCCTGGCAGATTTACGGTTGGCAGTTCTGGCTGTAGACACGCTTAATGAGGCTGCAGCTTATTTCTCCAAGCTGAACTGTAAGGAGCGGCTGCGGGACGTCCACTACCTGCAGGCTCAGCTTCACCACGCTTTGGGACAAACCTCGCAGCGCAACAAATGTGCCATGCTGTTCCGGCTGCTGGACCAGGAGCTGCAGTCACCAGCACCTCCGGTCTCCATGCAACTCTGACTGCTCCCACTTTGACAACAAACTGGATGTTTTGGCTGCTGGAAAGGACTCTTCAAAACGCTGAGTTGAGCCTCTGCACCTCACCACTAGATGGTGGTCAGGCTCTGTCCGGCTTCTCTCAGCACTAAAACATTTCATTTAGGAATATTTTGAATAAGAGGTCATTTTTGACCTCTTTGCATGCAGCGCCAGGATTTTAATCAAACAGAACAATGTGAGCAGTGGTAAATAAAAATCAGTTTCCAGTAGATCAAGAATGTATCTATCGTTTCTTCAGCTGCGGTCAGGTAGAGATTTGAATGATGGGCCCAAATATGTAGCGTGGTTTACTAGTCTCGACCACAACAACAGCCCAGGTGTGTGTGACAGACATGCCAGGCGGCGGTGTGGGTAAAAATGTCAAAAGTTTATCAGGGGCTGTCACGGCTGCGCCGATTTACATGTCGCCTTTTGATGAATGAGGGTAATATCACGGTTAGCTACAAGATGAATGTGTTTCACTGGCCTGGATGATTCATATTTTCCTGGAAGAATACTGATGAAGCTGGAATCTAGAGGAAGAAATTGTGATCGCGTTAGCTCCGTGATGACATAAACAGATACTGTATCTGTATTCCACTTACGTCTGACACAATTTGTGAGAACTATTTTGGCTGATAATATTACATTTATGTATTCAGTCGGGACTGTAATCCATTACTTACTGCACTTCTTTCAAGGAGATGAATGGTTTGTTTCATCTTGTTTAGTTTTCGGTTACGCTGACATAAGTATAGAAATAACTGTGATCGGAAATACCTGTAGTGGGAAAATATCTGCGTTACAGCCCCCAAAAGTCTCAGTTGTACTTCAGCTTTCTACTTATCTCAATAGTTTAGTGTGTGATCGTTTCGTTTGCCTTTACGCACCAGTCAGATTTAAATCATTGGAGCCTGTTAACAAGAAATGTCTCCTTCATTACCATCTGTCCCAGCCCTGTGAAAGTTTGGTTCTTCAGTGGATAAACAGATGGATTACAGAGATGCCTAGTAAAAGCAGCCTTGTTTTCTAAATAAATATCACACAGGGCCATGTGATAAACTTTGCTCCTCCCAAGTGAGGTCTTTCTACTGTTGTTTTTCATGATGTGGTGTCGGCATGGGGCCATTTAATATCTGTATTTATATGTTTCGCTTTGCTTGATTACAACAAACAGTGGCGGATGTGGACCAGTTCACAGGAGTAAAAGAAGTGTGTGTGATTCAGTTTGTGCTTTTAGACCAACTCCTTCTGCTGCATGTCCGATTTCCTGCAGTGGGATTCAGTTCACTAACCGTTAACCACAATGTTATTCAGGGCCATTTAAAGCAGAAAAGAAGCTTCCTATTTGAATTTGACGGTGCCAGTTTCAAAGTGGGAGAGCAATTTCTTCGAGTTAAGTAAATTCTATAATTTATGGGAAATTATAGCTCTTTTGAACCTTAGCAGGTGAAATGAAAGCAGCTAAAAAGATTTGGTAACTCACAAAATTTAGAGATGATAAAATGCTGACACCTTTGAAGTTGAGATTTTTATCTCATGGCGATAAAACAAAATCATTGTTGTTTGTAGTTGGTTTTCTATTTGCTTACAGGGCACATGAGGGGAGATAATTACTGAATGCCGTTTGAAATTCACTCAGCAGTGAAAGTGTGAGAACTTTAAGGGACCCAAACTCCACTCTGGGTTTTGTTTTATTTCCTCTGACCATATTTGAATTCTGAAATCTTTCATCTTGACTTAATGGGTTAGTTTATCAGCAGAACTGATCAGCAACTGATGAATCTTTTGAGTTATTAATCAAGTGAAAATGCTAAAGCTCCACTGTGTCTGCAGCTTTTCCACAGTTTTTCAGCCACAGTGGTGCCACAGCTATAGAGATGTTTTTGTCATTTAGTGCATTACTTTGGTTCAGACTGAAATGTCTTAGCAGCTGCTGGATGATTTTGTTGTTTGCAGTCATTTCTGATCTCCACAAAAATGCATCTTACTGACTGCTGTGGTCTGACTATTACACTGCTGTGTCACTGTGAGGTTATCACTTCTGGCTTTGAGTGAACTTCACCATCAACTACTGGGTGACTTACCATAAAATTTGGCACAAATTTTTCCCTCAGTATGAATTTAATGTCCTCAGAGATTCTCTGACTTTGCCTTTGGCACTTCCATCCATTCAAAGTACTGTTGTTTGTAACAAAACAGGGTTTTTTCTTGCTCAGAACAGGTGTTTTGGAGGTGACTGCTCACAACAGCAAAGGCAATGAGTCTGTGTTACCTCATTTAACTCTAATCTGTGTATTTTTCTGCTATTTCTGATAATTTAAAAAGCAAAAATGTCTATTATGCTTGAGTAAATGAAACCTCGATTACCAAAACAGGTTAAAAATAATATTTATTTTATTGATTTTTTTTTTGTTATTTTGCTGCTGGTGAGTCTCCTTTGGGGCTTTCAAGTAGCCTTTAGCTCAGAACCCCACATTATAGTACAGTCTCATCGGGTTTTGGAAAGCAATTCCAACACATCACATTGCGCTTGGAATATTATAATAATATTAGAATAATTAAGGAATCAAAAATGACAAAAACTGCTGATGGTAGCACTGATAAGTTATACTAATTGTACGACCACTGAAGCTTTGGCTCATTCTCATATTGATTGTGCCCTCAGTTAAATGTACTTACCACAATACATAATGTTCACTGAAGAACAAAAACCTGACCAACCACAAAGTGAAAGAAAAGAGAGATTGTGTGCCTAATATTCCAGTACAGCAACAGCACAGTTTCTCTGGTAAAATATAACATCTTTGTTCAAAATGTTTAATAACAAGCATGGCAACAAACATGGCATAAGAACAATGCATGTTTAGAAAAATATATCTGCAAATGTATTTTTCAAAATACACTATACATTCACTGAACCTCTACTCGATATTAAACATTTACAGCTCGGAAGCGATAGTTTCACTGTAGAGTCACAGAAGAACACAACACGGTGAGTTTCCTCTAACTGATGTCCGTCTCAGGATCAAGACATTTTGGTAAAACAGGCAAACAACCTGAGATATCCTTATTTTTAATTGGAATACGAGCTTGTAGGCTGAGTGTTAAAACTGATGGTTCTTCACCAGTTTGAAGACAAACTAAAGACAGAGCCTCCTTATTCAGACAAATTGTCCAATTCTTCACAAGAGTTTTTCCTTACGAAAGAAAAAAGAAATGGAACACAGTCCATGGACAATCTACCACTGAGATTCTTAGCTAGTGATGAAGCCTAAGAACATTTAATGTGACATTATCATATGTCTTGTTACTGGTATGTATTTGGTTGTGTTTATTGATATAATGGGTGCCGTGTCAGACATGAACTGGTTTTAATGTTGAAGGAAGATACATTTTGGGCCTGTCCAGTCCTCAAATATCACCTTCCCGTCCAGTAGTGATGATACAAGAGTCAAATTAAGTACCACCCCTTCTTTTACTTCAAAACGCTAACATGATGCCCAAAAAAAAAAAAAAACGAAGTAATGCTGAATAATTGAGTAAAAGATGTATTTAAATGGTCCGTGTTTGAGCAAAAGAGGAGAAGAAGCAGCGGCTATGCTTCAACAGCTGCTCCGAGGTTGCTTGAGTCTTCAGTGTGGACACCTTTTTTTTTTATTTGTGGTTGTATCCGAGTGTCTTTAAGGAGAACATCCTCACTGAGGGGAGCAGAGAAGAACCTGAAGGAACGTTCAGTATCCCGCTGGATAGCCTCCTTTTCTGGGGTCGGACTCTGCACATAGACGCTCTCCCTGCCGCACCACGGCCTGGACCACTGAGTCTGGAGTGCTCAGCAACTGTGTTACATGGTTCTTCTGGACCAGACCCTCCAGGACACTCTGCAATGATGGTATCAGGCATACACAGAGGCAAAAATATAGTCTTGTGCAGGACTTGAATCCTCTTTATTAGAGGATCAATAATAGTAACAGACTTCTTAAAGGAACACATTTTTGGCTGTTTTATTCAGTCAACTAATTGCACATTGTGTAACCTTAATGTTTCTGATTATTGTTTTCTAAAGCATGCTTCAAGTCTGGAATTATATCCTACAAATACCATAAAAGTGATATTTTGAGCTGGTTGCTTTTTACTATCTGGTCAAAGTTCAGTTTTGTAAAATTTTGTTTACTGAGTCAATAACTGCAAAACTAACAACATTCCCATCAGCCTCAGTTGTCCTCTGTGGTTAATGAACATCAGCAAATATCAGCATGCAAACACTCTAAAGCAGGAGGATAAATAATGCAAACATGATATCAGCTTAGTATAAGCATGTTAGCACACTGATTTTAGCATTTAGTTCAAACAGTTTGGCTTAAATATAGCCCCATAGAGGTGTTAGCATGGCTGTAAAATCTTGTCTTGTTTACATTATATTTGTTATTCTGTTGCTCCGGCCATTTTTAACACTCTTTGTTGGTGCATCTGGACATCTGATACAATTTTAAAGTTTCAAATTGACTTTTATACTAACATAAAATTAAATGAATGGTTGCCTGTATGTCAAATTCCAGGTACTTGTACTGCACTTGTTTACTCCACTACTTTTGTGTGACAGTTTTAGTTACTTCTAAGATTACATATTTTCATACCTTTACTGTCCAGTATGAACTATTTATCATAAACTAAAAGATTAAGTGTTCCTTTTTGGGTGAAAACTGTTTTCTGCTCCTTAATAGAACATATGTAATAATATATTTAATATATTTATTTATATTTATATATATTAATATATAAAAACCCCTCTTGTATTTCCTGAAAAACAGCAGAAAACAGGACTGTTTATCTGAGCGCATGAATAGATGACTTTTTGAAGCTATACAGTTCTCATAGGACAGAAGATAATAACACATTGCTTTAACTGTAACTACCCAACAGTGTATAAAGTAGTCAAAATTATCTCTTAAACATCCACCGCACTAAACTGCAGCTATCACATATAGAATACAGCAGCAACAATAATCCAGCAATTATTGAATTTCCCTTCTGGGATAAATAAAGTATTTTTCATTTCATTCAATGTATATAGTGGTAAAACACTAAGAGGAACCATTTTTCTATAAAATAAGTACTTTACCTTTTGATTCTTGAAGTAAATTTTGTTGGTAATACTTTTAATAAGTAAGGCTTTGATTGCAGTACAGTGTAGTATTAATACTTTTACTTAAGTAATGGATCTGAATGGGGTTTTTTTCACCATCACCAGGTTATGCTTTGCAGTTCATAGTCAAAGACAAGTGTGACTCACCCTTTCAAAGCCCTGCTCCACCACTGTCATATTTGGGTTAAGCTGATTGTGAACTCGTGGCTCCGTCACAGCCTTCTTTAGGTCATAGTTGAAGAACAAGGAGTTCAGGATGACCTGTTTTTAGTCACAAAGGACAAGTTGATAAGTTGTACATAGTCAAGTGTGAATCTACAGGATGGAGATGCAATGTGACTGAATCAGACTCACCAAGGCGGTAGCTGTGGTGATTTTTGTGCCTCCGGATGCTCCTACAACCATTTTCACTCTGTTTTCTTTGTCAAAGATGATCGTAGGACACATAGAAGACAGTGGCCTCTTGCCTGCAACAGATAAACACAATGTGTTAATGACTGCATAATGGACAGATGTCTTTCTACCTTGTGGTTTAATGGTGCCTTGCAGAATTTTAACAGCTAAAAAGTATCACATTCATTTGACATATATGTGAGCAACAGTTATGCACATTATGAGGCTGGATTTAAGCTTTTGGCTGAGCTAAAACTGCAGAAACAAGCAAAAAGCTGGTGGAAACATCACCTCTGAATCATCCTCCCCAGAGAAAGGGTCAACAAATATCCTCTTTGTGGTTAATTTTAGATAAAAACACTGATATTCATTCAAGTTATAGCCTAAACAGGGTTTTCGAGTAACACTAGTATTGATAACTTAGTTCAGCCACACCTGGTTGGATGAAGTTGTTGGGCGATGGAGGGATTCCAAACCCGTTGGTCATGTATGGAGAGCTGAAATCATCCATCTCATCGTTGAAAATGATTCCAGTCGATCGGGACATGACTTTTGAACCAAAGCTGAAGAAATAAAAACATCTTTTTAAAACGTGCGTTTTACTCTGCAGGAAATTATTGGAAATATAAGTCTGACCTTTATGAGGCCCAATTAACAAACTGAACAGCCGGTTTAAGCCATGATGCAGGAATCTTACTACAGATTAATGGTGCTGGTGGCTGCCACAGCACTGCCATCCTCTGCTATGACCGACAGGTGAGCCGTCCCGTGGTTGTCTGGGACGAAGTAGTCCGGCTCGTAGTAGCTGTCTGGGTGGGTGGTGTCATCTGTAATTTTGCTCCTTATGCCATCCGCAAAGTAGTCTGAGGTCATGTTTTGGATTAGCTGAGGAGAACAAAACAAGTCAGTTAAAGAGGAGAAAACACAGAAAGTGCTGATTACATGCCCTTGAAAAAGACATTTCACCCTAAGCTGCTCTTAAAGTGGCAAGCAGGAGACAGTTGTGGCCATAATGAGCAGAGTGATGCTGCAAATGCTCCAGACACTCTGAAGGATAATAGTGTGAGCTCTTACATCGGTAATGTTGAGATAACGTGGGTCTCCCAGTCTGCTTCTCTTGGCATAAGCAAAACGAAAAGCTTCTACGATGCGATGGTACGTCAGAGTCTTTTTCTCTGCCGTAGAGACACTTGTGTCGGTGAAGTTGTATCCTGCAAAATATCCACAGAACAAACATGTCTGGAATGAAGGAGGATTCACATTTTATTGGCCTAATCAGGCAATGAGTCTTCTCCATCACTGTACTAAAAGTCAGTGACAGGTGAATTAACTGTAAGCCAAATAACACCATAAACCTTCCAGCAGACATGAATCCATGGGCACATGTTCCATCAAATTCATATACGAGCACATTAAATGTTATTTGCAATTAAAGATGTCAGTTTCTATTTCAAACAAGACTTAAAGATTCGCTGCCTGAACAGATGGAGTGTCTTTGGTAAGACACATTTGGCAAGCAGGCCTGAGCAGCAGCTCTGTTTTCTGCTTCCAAAACAGGCGGGGAAACATTCCAGGGACGACCTGGGAAACCTGACATCCTTTCTTCTGCATGACTGCACAAGCACTCGGCGAGGCTGCTCACCATCCACTATATTCAGTATGAGTGCCAGCACAGGGCCACTGGAGGGGGCGTCTGGGACGTGCATGGTGTATTCCCCAACGTTCAGCCTGAGAGGGTTCTCATTCAGCACAGGCTGGTACTCTAACAAATCATCCAGGGTGATAATGCCGCCTGGAATGAATGCAGAAGTGTCACAGTGAATTTAAAATAAGGAATTATGTTCACAGTACTGGGCATTTATTGTGGTATTTCATGGAAGTCTTAACTTAAGGTCTGTAATGTACACCTTGGTGTATTCACAATGTATTTATTCTTATTTATTTACAGACAACAGTGGATAAGAAAACAGCACAATACCTGCCGCCTGGATGTCCTCAACGATGCTCTGTGCCATTGTCCCGTTATAAAACACATCAGGCCCCTCTTCAGCTATTCTTTGGTATGTGTCAGCCAGCTTTGGAAATCTAACAATATCATTTTCTTTCAGGATGTTTCTTTGGGAATCACAAAATACCTCACTGAAAGAAAAAAGAAGAATAAGAAAAGCAGTTAGGATGCAAAAGTGTTAAGGTAAGCCAACAATTAAGGAATTCCTGACTGTGGTGCACCCTTTATCTGTGATATCACAGAAAAAACTGTGCTTGATAGATTGAGTGCACCCTGTTCGAGGACCAATGTGGAAGTACAAGGATAAAACATATAGATTCCACCAAAGTATCTATTTTAACTCAAACAAAAATGTACTAAACCAAAGCTTTTTCACATAGTGGACTGAGCAGGTGGCGCTAGCGCTAGAAACACAAATGAAAGGGTGCTGTCTTGGAGCCCAGTATCCAGTTATGGTAATACAACCAGGGAGGCCACATTCAACAGAGCTTATCTTTTTTTTTTTTTTTTTAAATTCCCAGTGTGAAGAGACACACAACAATGAGAAAAGACCATCCCCTAATTTTTTTTCCTGTCTCCATAGACCATGGCATGTGCCTCTGAACAAGCTGCTCAGGTTTGCAGCCTTCTGTGATGTCATTACAGAATAAGCTGGTTCCTTGTCTGAGCTACTGCTAGCTAGCCACAGTAGATGTAGAGAGAAGTTTATCTGCAGGCCTCTTTCAGAAAGATATGTGGGCAGCAGCACTTCAGTTGGATTGAAAGCTACAGACACTAAAACAGCCTATTTGGACCAGGGCCAAAACCAGAGGCATTATAAACATTGTACACTGAACCATCTGTGCAGTATTTTGAGCTGAAATTGAGATTATGCATCCTGCAGATAGGTTAGACTTGAATGACCATGTTGAAAATGAGTGTATAAGGGGATCTTTAAATTAGCATTAAGCCTGGAATCATGCAGAAACCGCTAATTTGACCTTGACCAGAGTTAAAAAATAAAATATATGCACCTACAATTATCTAAAGAGCACTAATTCGGAGGTTTAAACCTGTTTTTTTTTTATTCTGTAAAAAATGGGTAAAAATGATAAGTTGTGATTTTAAAAGTTTTTATGAGCTGAATAATTTCTTAAAATCTTGTAGCGAACCAGCTGAGACTTCAGAAACAGTGCTGACATGTTTAGCATTAGGAGTGCTGGTGAGTCCAGTCCTTTTGCTAAGCTAAGTCAGTTGTCTCTTGACTTTAACGTTGCATCTAACACATTGAACTGAGAGTAGTATCAATTTTGTCCTCTAAACATTAGAAAGAAGGATACTAATTATATCCGAAACATCTACTCATTTAATCTTACACCACAAATTACTGCATACATTTTTCAAGTAATAAAATAGAATCACTCTCACCACATGTTGGCGTCTTCTTGAATCGAATCTTTGCTCTTGAAGAGGGCATGAGCCAAAGCTTTTCCTATGGGAAAGCCATCACGAGCCAAAGCAATGCTTGGTTCAAACAGCTCCTTCCATGGCAACCTGCCATGCCGTTTGTGTGCCATCTCATACCCACGGATCTCCCCTGGAATAGCGATGGACAATCCACCTGTAATGCAGAAACAGTAGTACCATTACTTTGAATTTCACAAGCTCCCTTTTTCTATCCCATATACTAAATTAGACACAAAGACACCACGAGAATCTAAAGATAATATTCTGCACGATCAGATGTAGTAATTTATTTTTATTCAGCCAGAAGTAGATGCAACGGAAGATAGAGAGGTTATTAAGGATGAGATAAGAGAACACCTGAAAGGAGCGAGATAGATAAATTTAAGACTACAGTATCTATCCACTCTAAATCCCTTCCTATCTCTAAAGTTACATTTGAGTCACGTTACAGTGGCTGCAACAGCTTTACAGAATGCAGTTCAATCCGCGTTAAGTAAATGTGTGCCTGGGAAATACTCTTAACAGCTCACAGGTAGTTGCTACCTGTACGAGAAAGCTTGGTGTTGTTGCCAAACATGTCTTCAGTGGCGTTCAAGGGTGCCGTCTCCCTTGCATCGATGGTTTCCACCTTCCCTGTTGAGCAGAAAATGAGGAATGATTGATCGGTCTTTTCTCGGCTGGCTGTGTTGAGAATTTTAAATTAATGATGCACACTCACCTGTGGAAGCATTATAGATGACAAAGAAGAGCCCTCCTCCGATGCCCATGCTGTGAGCGTTCAAAAGGCCGACACATAGCAAAGCAGCGATGGAGGCGTCCACAGCTGAGCCATTTTTCTTCAGGATGTCCCTGGAAACAAAAGAACTCACTTCACAACTAGAAAAGACACATGCAGGGCAAAACATTCACCATATGTCTTCTTACCTCCCCACTTCTGAACACTTTCCAGCATCAGCAGCCACTGCGGCCTTTGAGTAGAAGTGGTCTGAAGGGAGAGGCGGGTTTTTCTTCCCCAGGCCCATGAACACTCCCAGGAACAGGCTCACTGCAGCCACCAGAAGGACCACCAGACCAGCAATCAGGGACTTCCCAACCATTTTCCTGCACGGGAAAATCAGCACACCTCATAATCAGACAAGATTCCTCAGCTCAGAGACATGTGCTATCCTCAAGACACCATCATTTTCAAAATGTGACTCAATCAAATAACAAAAAAGAACAGTATAGTTTTTCACTACAGGCTTTTAAGAAAATGTACTCACCCTTGGTGTATAGTTTTTTACAGACTGATGCAAAATATTGGACAAAAAAGACAACGAAAGAAGGGAACTGGACATTCGACTGACTCCCAGTGAGTGTCAACAGTAATGACAGCGTAACTTAAATCAGCGAAGATGTGGGTTGTATCATCTTTGGTTTTCAGGTGTGACGCTAATAATGCAGTGCTGTTTGGATAATAAGCATGTGCTGTATTTGGACATGTTTTTTAAAGTTACAGGACAGAGAACTGATGCATAGAGAGAGGAAGGGACATAAAAGAAGATTTTCTTCTGTGCCTATTTTTTTGTATTTGAGCTCTTAGGAGCATCAGCAATGAAGCAATAAGGGTTCAAATTCAGACCCAAAACTGCACAGTCATCCATCTATTCTCTTCCCTTATTCAAGGTTGGGTTGCAGTAGCAGCAGCTTTAACAGGGCATTCCCAGGGTCCCTCTCCCCAGCAATGCTTTCCAGTTCTTAATGGCACCCGAGGTGTTCCTACCATTGTGTCATCATCTTCCAGGCACCTAAGAGGCCTGCAAGTGAATCATCCTTTTAGTCATGTTTACATACCCTGTTTTCAGAGAGGATGATTTGCAGAAGGCACTGTTCAACATTTATGATGTATAAAACAATGTTTTTTTTCATTTGCTCTGCAGGTTTTCAACTAAGTCTTCAGTTGTAGGAAAAACAGATGAGATATATAATCTGTCCAACGAGTGCTTGGACAAATATGGAATGTTCGCCTGCTTGGATGGGCCCAGAATACCTCCAAAGGAAGGTGTCCAGGAGGCATCTTAATCAGATGCCTAACCATAATAGCTGACTCCTACTTAAGTGAAGGATCAGCAACTCTACTCGAAGCTCCCTCTGGATGTCGGTGCCTCTTACCCAACCACGCCAAAGGAAACTCATTCCAGCCACTTGTATCCACTATCTCATTCTTTGGGTCACTACCCAGAGCTTGTGACTACAGATGAGTGTTATAATGTAGATCAACTGTGTAAATTGAAATCTTTGCCATCTGGCTCAGCTGCCTCTTCACTGTGACGATCTGCTACAATTCCTGCAATACAATTAATGTTGATATTGTACCGATGCATCTGTTCACAGGGTTCATCAAGCTCTATTTTACTGTCATTCATGGACAAGTCCCAAGGTGCAATCAACTTTTTCTTTGAGGCATCAGCTTAACCTGAACTCAGAGAGAGTAATACACTGAGTTCCAGCAAAGGACCATGGCCTCAGACCCAGTGCGCATTGAAGGTCACAGCCTTATGAAGCCAACAGAATCCTGTCATTTGCAAAAAGCACAGACGTGACGCTGAGGTCCTCAAACCCAACATCCTTCCCACTCCGGCTGCACCTTCATACTTCATCCATAAATATCACAACACATATTGGAGACAAGGGGTCACCCTGGTGGAGTCCAGCACCTACCAGAACTGTGCTTGTGCCAAGAATATGAACACAGCTTTCACTTTGTACTGCGCTTTCAATCACTTACAAAAATCTGAATTTATTGTGGTTCAATCAATCATTTTTTAAACTAGACATCACTTTTTCAAGTGATAGGTGCCTCTCTCCCGATGAAACTCTCAGGTTTGTCTTTGTAGCCCTCTATAACCTTCTGTTTCACTCTGATATCTATCTGCCAGGTTTGCCAAAGTGAAGGTGAGAGTGATCTGTTTACAGATTCAAGCAGCATTCAGCCCTGACTCTGGGCTCTGTGTGATTGGCTCAGCCGACAGCGTTGCCATGCTCAGTAACCGTGTCACAGTCTATTTGGCTTATTCTGCAGGCATCCTCAAACTGATTGAGATGCCTGAGCCTTCACCCAGGAGCACAGGTCCAAGCTGGCAGCATTGGTGACAGTAGCTTCTCAACTGCAAATACCCTTCTGTGGTACCTCATCTAATCCAGCGTGCACTCCTGTTGCTGGGCCACACTGATAAAGCGCTGTCAAAGGAGCCTGTGGCCTGCTGCTACTGCTGCTGCTATGATTGTGTCTAAATCTAATCACTGCTATCCTGTTCTGGATCTCCCATGTTCAGAGCCACCCCAAGGAGGGGAGTTTATTCAGCGGACAGAGCTGATTTGCAGCGGAAGAGGACAATTACATTTCTGTTTGTTGCAGATCACAAATGGCTTCCTCCAGTTTTTATGCGCATATCAGTGTCACTGGATGAGGGTTTTTTCTGCAATATCAGCTGGTGCTTGTTCATATTTTTATCCCTCAGCCAGAGGCTTATAGGTTTCATTTTGACTTTGCTGGGAGGGATACACTCACACTACCCACCACGCTTGCCTCCAATTGTTTTCGCACAATAAAGGGGATGGCTTGTCTGTATACACAGCAGCAAATCAAATCACACACTGCTGTTGTTCCTCAGCGACAGGTGAAACGCAGCCTGCAGAAACACTAACAGCAGAGAGATAGCCACAGTGGAAAAAAGGAGGTGATGTCATGTGTTTTTATGGTTGGCTGCAGTCCTTTTAATGATAGGCGCTCCATAGACAGCGTCTGTGATATATGCTGCAATTATAAGTTGGTAACTCAGCTTCGTCTTTATCAGCAAATGTCTTTTAAGATGCCTTTTTGGTGTGGATGGGTGGATAGTAAAAGAAAATAAATCGTTAGATACATGTCTTCTATTGCAGAAGGCCCTAAACTTTATTTGCTCGTAAACCATTAACGTGCTCGTAGTTGCATGTGCACATGATCAAATTTATTATAGCAATGTTTTTTTCATCATTTGGGGGACATTTTTTTTGCTTTGAATTGTTAGTTGAGGGCTAAAAGGTGCAGTAAAAGCCAGCAAATGATCAGCAGCTTAACCCCAGAGCTGCAGTGGCACCTAAACTGTCACAGCATTTTGCAGCTTCCTGCTGTCTTGTCCATCTGCGTGTTTGCATGCTATCTTGCTAATTTTTTTTGCTATTGTTATTTTAGTACATTATTGTCATATATTGGTCTTTATTAAGTGATAATCTTACTGGATTTCACAGTATACAGGAAATGCAGTTAAAATTAACTAGCTGGCTGACACTTGTACTGTCCACTTACAGGTTAGTGCGATGTGTCTTTATAAAATAATTACACCAGAAAATCAACAGCAGGTTTTTAGTCAAGTATTTTTAGAGTCACAAAAAGGTAAGGTTGTCCATAATTTAGTAGAGAAAAAAAGCAAAGTTTAGAAGAATTTATGACAATATGAGAATTTAAGACCTCGTAAGAAATTTGTCTGTGAAGTTTTTTACCTTGCTAACATGCCCATATGGTGTTTGTTCATGTGCTAGGAGACATACCATAGATAATATAAAATTAAATAATAAATGATAGTAAATTAAGTAGTCAACGCCATGACTGAACATTTCTACCCTGGAACTACAGTGTACTAATGCAGTATAACACAGATTCTGACCTTTAGGGCTTACTCCAATATTATAACTTACAAATGTGTTACAGAGGGTAGTTTTACTGTGCTTGAGCAAAATCATAGGTGAGCTGGTGTGTTTGAGCTGCAGTGAGATACATCAGGGCTTCACTAATAAAAGCAAAGGTGTAGAGTTACATTTGAGCTAATGTAAGGCAGAAAGTGACTCTTTTAATTGAAAAAAAAAAAAAAAAAACCCAAAACCTTCTACATATGTTGCTTTGATACACAGAGATACATTTTTATGGGTGTAATCAATGACTGAGAGGGACTTTAAGTAGATTTGTTGGATTGAATCTCCAAAACCCCAGCATTATACAATTACCATATTGCAACTCAGTGCATTTATTTCAGTAGACCTTGTCTGTCTCCTATAAGCCTTTGTCTTTTATACCCCTGACTTTGTGTTCAGCCAAAACCAAGCTACCCCTCATGACATTGTAAGACTGCAGCAACAGTTATATGTAAATATATAAACTGAACATTATCTTAATTAGGGGTAGGAATCACAGACTACCTTATGATACATGACAACCACAATAACAATAATATCCTGACACAGCAATTCTGTCATTCTCAACACACTGCAAGCCAAACATCTATGATGCTAAAAAAAAAAAAATACCACTAAAAAGAATTGTCTTTATTTACTGCATTGTCATTTCAGTGTGTCTGTATCATCATTATCATTCAGTCTTAATAAGAAGAGTTTCTTCTTCTCCATTGCAAGCTCGTTAACTTTTGTTCACTTTACTTTCATTTATTAATAAGTGCCATCATGAAGGGTCCTGGCGTGATTCTGGTACAGTTGAATTGGCATGGGGATCAGTTTGGAGTGTTTTCATAAAAATGTTGATGTTTTGCACATCAATACTTTGCAGCACCCCTAACCTGAATCATCTCAAAACCCATCAGACCCCTCTGGAGAGCAGGGAACCACTGCTCTTTACTGATTGTAGCACTTTATTAATATTGTCAAGGTTCAAATTTGATTCTTATGTCAAAAAATTTTAACATCACTGAAAAACACGTCATGCACATGGTTTCAAACTCTACATATGAGCAGCAAACACAGTTATGTTCCACGTGCAGTGGAAACAAATTGCTTGGAGAGTTCAAGATCTGACTACACAGATTACTGGCATGATGATACATTATATTGAGGGTGCTAGTCAATCATAACTGCAAACTCTAGGAACATATGCAGCAGGGCCTGTCCTGAGGTTGTCCAGCCAGGGGACGTGATTGTGAGAGAGCAGCCCGAGTGTCATGCTGCACTAAACAAATGCTGAGTCTGAATCATAGCCCAAAATAGGGTCAAATCAGGATCAAAGTCCTTAAAGCCACAATGATGGGACCCTCAAATAGATTAGGTTTGGTGATGGGAGTAAAATCACTGTCTGTTATTTAGCCGGATGCACCCATGGGCCTCTCTTAGCTGACCCCTGTGGGACCCTTGAACAACATACTGATTCATACGTCAGAAGGGTGCAGCGGGACATGGATGTTCTTCAGGAAAAATGACAATGATTTAGTGGAGTTGTGACAGATGCAAAGGCGATTTGACAGCTCATACCACAGCTGACTGACAGCAAGATTGCCCAAAAGAGAATTTCATATTTACATAAGGCCAGTGGCAAGGCGCAGATTTGGACAGCTGGAGATAAAAGCCAAAGTTTTTATTTCATTTGAAGGACAAATGTAAAACCATCCCTGCTCAAAAACAGACTGAAAGACTTCTCTGTGATTTAGATTATACATTGGTTGGATAGTTTCCTTAGATATTAAAAATAAAACTGACATCCCTTGTTGTTGTTGTATTTTTTATTTATTTATTTATTTTCTCCCTTGTAGCTGCACAGAGGGAAATTTCAAGGCTGGGAGGAGAGACGCGCAGCAGGCACCAGATGCTGTGATTGGTCAGACGCTCCACGTTGCACAAACCTAAACAGCAGCGTAAAGCGGAGACGGCCGGAGGATGAAGCAGCCGGAGCATCTTCATCATCCGAGCCAGGCGCACGTAGCCCAAGGAGGAGGGGAAAAAAATCTAAACAGCAAACGTGCGACGATGTGCATGAGAATTATGCCGATAAATTAAGACTGTTAGAGGGGGTGGAGGATATTGTGCAGCGTGACAGCCAAGGCAGCGGCGCAGCGCCAGACAACACGGCGCTGTTTTCTACCATCCGCTGAGGAGCATCTGCTTGGGAGGAAGAAAAAAAAAAAAACTGGGGGGCTGATCATGGGTTTGTCCTTCTGGTAGCTTTAATATTATCCGAGCAGAAAACGTTTGTAGCAACAGCAACAACAACAACAAAGAACAACAGCCTACAATGGGTTCCAGACTGAGCCGGCAGAGCAGCCTGGACAATGAGAATTTCTCCAAAAAGCGACGCAAGCTTCTAGACGGCACCGGAGAGAGCGACAGGGGCAGTCGGGGCGGCGGGGACTTTCTATTTGCACTGATGCTGAAATCAGACAAACTGCCCGGGATGCTGCGCAGGACCAACCACAGTCCGTACATGAGGAGAGTTGCTTGGATCAAAGAGATACAGAAGCTGCTCCGTGACCGCAGCATAGAGCAGGCAACCGACGTGCTCAAATTACTGAGGAAGGTAAGAAAGTCAGACCTGTTTGCTTACAGTGTGTGCAGCACCACTGCCTGATTTGATGCTGATGCAGCCATACATCCTCATGGAGAAACGAGCAGGAGTGTGCGTGTGTGTGTGTGTGTGTGTGTGTGTGTGTGTGTGTGTGTGTGTGTGTGTGTGCACTTTGATGTGTCCATAGTGTTGCAGTGCCACAGGTGCCTGATCCTGCAGGCTCTGCTCTGCAGCCTGTCCTCTGACCTCTGACCTCTGCCTGACTGCTTTCGAACCGTGTGTGTGGCCTCCCTCCTCCATCTATTTGTTTTTATAGAAAGTAGGCCACTGGCAGTGCTGTGTACCTGATGCTAGCAGAGTCAGCATGTGACTCACCAGTGTCCGCTCTCACTCTGGGTGAGCATGCTTTATGTTGACATTAGATTTGAAAGGATTACCTGCGCTATAAATGAGGAAATGGTCAAACTACTCATTGCATTATCCCAAATTTCATTGTGTCTGGAAGGGATCTGACTATTTCCACAAATGGCACACAAACAGAGCCTCATCCCCTCTTCACCTGTCCTTGTTTCCCCTCAGAAGACAGAATCTCAGCTCTCTTTAGACTGTTCTGATGCTCCCATTAGAGCGACCTGCCCCCCTTCCATCTCGCCCCACTCTTAATGCCTCTCTCTCAGTGTAATGGCCTGTGCTCCAGCAGCAACAATGTAAGCCCTAGAGTCCTGTGTTCCCCTATACAAAATAATATTCTTCCTCACAACGTTTTATTAACTCTTACTTTTCGGAAGAAGGTCGCAGACATAAAAGTCTAGGCCACAATCAATATTTCGCTAGTGTCTTTTTCCTACTTTGTTGTGTGTTTCCTTGTAGTCGTCTGACAGTGTTGTCTTTTTGAGCATTTTCACATGCGTTGAGACATTGTCAAGCCTCTCTGACTGATGAAAATCAAACACAAAACATCCCATCTGAAATGCACTGTCATCGAGCCAAAACCGCTGTTGTTTCTATTGTTTTCTGAAAAAGAAACTGCACACAGATATCCTTATTTGACATCTGTTGGAATGGGTTTCATGCAGTTCTTTATATTCCGTGATAAGAGCTACAAGTAAGTATTGCAGTCGTGACCTAGAATATGCCACACACCAACATGCTGAGAGAATGATGTTTGGATTTCAATCATGCATACAAATCCTTTTCTCGCTTGTGTAGCATGAAAACGTGAAAAAAAAATGTAGGTGCATGGAAGATGAGACAGCATCCTTGGTGATCTCATTTGTTTTGTTGCCCTCAGGGCCCTCCTCTGTCTTTTAGCTGTCGACCAATTCAGCGTTAATTACTCTGAAGCCTTGACACAGGAGAGAGTGGAACCTCCTTAATCAAGCTGAGGAGATAAACTAGCCAGGCTAGGCTCCATGACAGCCACATCACAGGGGACACGGGCTCGCTTTCTCTAAATGAGCTCTGCTTTTATTAAATGAGCCTTATTTTATCTTTACTCGCTGCATTGCAAGCAGGCAGATGTCTGAGAGATTCTGCTCTCTAAATTTGAAAGGAGTTTGTGGCAGAGCTAATTGGTGTGTAACAGTGAGCTGTGCTCCAGATATGAAAAAGATCTGAGCTTTGCTGCAGATGTGGGAAGGATTCGAGGCTTCACGCCACGCTTGCACATGACAATTGATCGCATCTAAACACAGAAGGGAGATATTTTTATACCTTGTTTCTCAGAAGGGCAGAAGCAGCTTCTCCCCCGCATTGGGTTCAGTCTGTGTTTACCGTTGCCCTTGTTAAAAGGAGAGCCGGTAATGTGAAACTGCCAGCCTCCCACTCGAACTGTCTATTACAATCAATGCCGATTGTGTTTGAGAAAAAAAAAAGTGGATGCATCTGGTGTGTGTGTGTGTGTGTGGAGGTGTGTGCATACTGTATATAGCGCCTCAAAGCCTTTCTTCTCTCATTAAAGTCGCATGGGCTACACAAGTGCTTCCCATCGTAGTTTGCCTCATTAGGACCTTGAGGATGGACGTATTGATGAAGGCGAGTTGTACAGTCCAGTTCACACAGCTGCTCTGCTGACCGCTGCTTGTCTCATCAAGCTCAAAAGGTCGTTTGACATCTCCTCCTTTTAGTTGGTTTGATTTGTTTATACTTCAGATCCTTTTGATTCGTCATATTTATGAGTAAGCTGCCAGAGTAGCTGTCAGTTCTGACCTCTTTACAGATGTATATATGTGCTGCACGGATTTTTAAATGAAATTTATTCACACTCTAACATTTTGAAGCACCACCGCCAATTTTTTATGAGGTTAGGAGAATTCTAAACGAAGAAAAATGGCTTAATTGTAGATATAGAGACACAGATATATTAGAAACAGCATACAGCTACAAGATTAAATGGATTTTGGAGTTTTTCCAGGGGAGGTTAGTTGGCAAAAATCACCATAATTTGATGTAAGGTTTTCACATCGGCTCAGATGGAGTCAGGAGTGGTTTTGTGTGTGAGAGGTGCGTGCCGTGACATATTGGGATGTGCACTGTGGCTCTGTGCCATGAAGGTGTGATTATATATGCCAAAACACAGCGTTCCCTGTGACTCCTCCTAGATTTCACTTCCCTACTGTAGATGAAAAAGCTCCTGTCTCTTTTAATGAATATTTAAAGCAAAACACTTCTTTTATCTCTCCATTTGGAGTCGTGATGCCCTTGACACAGCAGGGACCTGTTTCCATCCTTAGTGCTTTTTCCCCCCTCAGGTCCAAAGCAACACTGGTAGATTCTTAATTGTATGTTTTTACACCTTTCTTTGTTGATGATTCCTCATATCTTGTGTGCTTTTATAGGATCTGGGTTTAGAAGGAACCTCGCTCAACGACATCTTGTACAAAAACGCTGCCTTCCTCAACCTCGTAGACCCGATCTCGCATGAACTGCTGCTCAGCTTGGCTCGAGAGATGCAGTGTCCTAAGAAGGTCAGTTATGTCCTGCATTTCCTCTTTCCTCCAACACTCACAGAGTGTCTGCAGAAATCAGGTTTGATGTTCTGCAAAAGAAAGCTTTCTCCTAAAAATATTTCCCCTATGATTTCCTTTAGTGAAGTAATGGGCTCTTAAGATCAACGAAAATCTAATCCGAGGATGTTATCGACTTACGTTTCTACAGACGGATGGTTGAAAGAATTTGGGCAGACACAGAGACACATAGAAACAGAAGCAGCTGCTCTGTATAAACTGTGCTCGATGCGTTCTGTTGAATTTTTTCCTGCGTGAGAACTCATAAAACTGGAGTGACTCAATAATATCAGCAAAATTGCGAGCAATAGGCCCCAAGCAATCAGTCAGATTAGCACATTAAATATAAAAGCATGTGTTTTGTGCACAGACGTGAATTCATAATTCAGTATGTTCTAACCTCTAAAAGTGAATATTGAATTATTTTGATTGTAGGCAATGGCCACTAGCAGCCACAACATGGTTAATGAACTGAAATTACCAGTGTTTACCAGTGGCTGTGCTGAATCTCACCTCTCCTGTGTGCTTCCTGAGTTTCCCCCCTCCCGATCCGTGCTGCATGTGATTAGATTTTCTTGCTCCAGCAAGGCAGCTAAATTGTGTTTTGTTCAGGAGTAGCTCAAGGCTTCAAGAGTAATAAACCATTTTTTTCTGCTCATGTGAAAGATGTTGCACTTACAGGCTGATAAGTTCAAAAAAATGGAAGAAACTTTGCAGGATTCAAAACCTACATGGTGTGATATAATAAATTGTAAAAGATGTTTTCTCTTGCCTCATACAAGCACAAAATCTAATACTGAAAGCTGCTGCCTCACTACTGTGTCCTTCTGTTCCGTGTGCTATTATCGACACTCTTTGTGCTTTTTTTTCTCTGCAGGACGCAGACACCATAAAGTCCTCTGATAAGATTTGCAGACAGCTGATCTATCACCTGACCCCGCACTCAAAGTGGCTGAGGCAGAGCATGTCCAGACGGAAATCCCAGGCCTGGTAAGCCCCTCTGTCCAGACATCCAGTCTGTAATAAATCTGCAGCTCCGCAGAACAGTGAACAGCGCTTGGCTCCACGTCGAGCAGTAGAGATTTCCATCTTTGCAGCTGACATTGAAATAGGACGGTGCTGGCCACAGGCTGACCTGACAGGAACGTCATGGTAACCACATCTGTCAGTCAGATCTCGTTTTTAGTCCTACGGTCCGTGCTGTGCATGTGCACTGCTGCTGGCTTCTCTCTCTTCAAAAGTGGCAGCAAAATTTATCCATCTGTTTGTGAAGGAAATGCTGGGAGCATTATGTTGAAATGTAATTGTGCTCGTTCTGATGAAAGAGTGAATTGCTTTTGATGTGCAAATGACGAACAGAGAATTAGCTTGTGTACAAATGGGGTGTTTGTGTGCCTAGGTGTTGCACGGTAATCCTATTCATGAACCGAAACAGGCCATCATAATTCTTTCTCATGTAATTGCATGCGCTACAGCTGGCTAGACGCTGCAAATAATGCATTCATATTGTAGAGATGAAAATAATCTCAAGATTGAGAAGGAGACAATGCGAGGACACTGAGAGCAGACAGGTTCATTATGAGTCAGTCGGAGGCATCAACACGCAGAATCGCAGGAAAAGCAACAATATATTCACGGGGATCTGGCAGGATCAGACACTTGCACAAGCACGGTTAGTTGGGCTTGTGGACGTTTAATTCAGGCCAGAAGAGGAAAGACACGAGATTTAACTGACACTGACAGCATCTCTGAAAATGTGCACATACATGCGACTGCTAAGTTCTTATAGCTGAAGGGCTTTTTTTTTTTTTTTTTTTTCCCTCGACTTAGTCATGTTGTTGGCTTCATAAAGCTGCAGAGAGACAGTCTGACACTGGCTGAGACAGCAGGAGCAACATGAATCATTAAACCCACCCTAAAACAGAATATTAATACAGTAGGTGCTGTGAGCTCTGACAGCTTCGCCTGCCGTTGTGTTCGTGAACAAATACCTGTCAGCGCAAGAAAGAGACGAGACAGGGCCAGTCTGCTGCCGACTGAGAATGGGAAATTCACCCATAAACTCAATTTTTGGAGATACTTTTTCTGGTGTACCACTTTTACAAAAACGGCTAGGTAATAATTTAAATTCTGACACAAATGAGTCCCGGGTGTATAGTTACTTTTCAATTTATTGCTACTCAAGAGAGCAGCTAAGCTCAGGCTGTAGTGTCTCGTGTTGTTTTCTTGTCCTGTGAGGACCATGCTACTTTTGTGTGTTTTAAAGAAGCATTTTGTGAACTGCACCTATTTACCTTCAAATCTAGATGACTGATACTCATAGATATATATAGGCCTACATGTAGATACTTTTCAGTGGTGGCCTCCATATTTAAATCACAGCTCTTAATACATGTATGTCTATCAACAAAAGTCTCCATCAATTTGCAAGTACTTTGGTTTGTTACAAATGCAAGACACGTATTCATAATATGGGAAACTTGTTAGCATAGCAGGTTTTCCCACCAAAATGTTTATCTTATTTAGATAATAACAGTAATACTTGTGTAGCATAATGTTTGAAATGAACTTGAAGTATATTGAATTATATAAGAATCAAGTATGTTCTTTTTTCTTCCTGCATGTGAAGTCATTTTATGTATAATTTTGGTAATAAATGCCCCATAACATTAATAATTTGAGTCACGCAGCAACAATGCTATGCAATTTTGCGTACAGTTTAGGCACATGTTTAAGTTAACTTACTGTCACATTAATGCCATGAAACACTGTACAGTGGATAATTAAGAACTACTTAACACAATAACACACACAGCGACATAGCTGATTGACAGTATGGTTTTCAGCGTCACCTAGCATGCAGGCTAAAGTAGAAGCTAGCTGGGAACCTGTGCACTGAGAAGCTTCTAGTCTCCGCTTAGTTAATGCAGTGCAAGTTTGTGGCCCAAAATGCTTTGAAAAGAGTAAAAATAAAGTGTTCTAATATCAGATTTACACCAGTTGAAACAAAGTGATTTTATCTTCATGGGTAGTTATCTATGAGCATAGCCTTTTAAGTATTAACACCACAGTCAATTATGTCCGTTTAGTTGTGAAAAGCTGAAAAAATCATGACTGATATTTAATTAATTGTACAGCCTGAAAACTGACGCTACATTTCTTTTTAGAGTAAACGATGTTCTATCACACAGGCTTTACTCATAGATTAATCTTGGAAAATGAGAGTCGTCCAAGTTTTCATTTTGTATCAAGCAGCACAAAAAAGTTTCTTTATGAGAACATCCAAATGCAGCACAAAAATGTGGCTTTTCTTTGAGAACAGGTCAGAACACGTAGTCAGAACCATTGAGCAAGTATCTCACGAGCCAGGACAAAGCATCTATGTGTGTATAAATGATTTCGTTCACATGGTGAATATGAAGCTACAGCTAGCAGTTGGCGTGGCAGGTACAGCTAGCAATTAGCTTAGCATTTGCACTGAAAACAGGGCAGACAGTCCGCTCCCCTCAAGGTTTACAAAATCTGTTTACAAGCACTAAAGCTCACTATATGGCACGTTTTTCTCATTTTAACCTGTAAAACAACATCTTGACTTTGGTTTTAGTACATGTTAACAAATAATATATAATATGTGAAAAAGTGAGCTTTAGAGGTGCTGGCAGGAAGATATTTTACTTTCCGTCTGAGTCAGGCTAATTGTTTCCTCCTGTATTCAATTTGTATGCTAAGCTAACCATTTCCGGATTGTACTTAAAATGATCAGTCAGACATTTTACTATATTTCCTAAAATGCTGAACTATTCTTTTGACAATAACTGCACAGTTACAAAAAAGCATGTCATAAGCATTGTCTTAGCTTGTATTTTACGTCTCTTTTTCTTTAATCTAGCTGCACACAAACAGCCCTCATCTGTACAAAAATGCAACAATCCCACGTCTATGAGGTTTCTGTCTACTCAGAGACCACAGAAACAGCTCAGTTCTTTTTAATGCCACTGGATTGTTCATCCCTTCATTATCCAGCATTAGCACTGCACACTGCTCACTCTAAATACTGAACGCACTTTTCGGGCTGAAATGCCACACTGAATCTCACTAATCCTGTTAATCTATCTAACTAGTTTATTTGGGTTTGTCTCGAAATATATTTTTCTTTTTTTCATGTTTAATGAAAGAGCTTGACAATCGGCTTGATGGAGGCCGTGACCCAGAAACACTGCCAAGGCGCTCTCACCTTAAGGGTAATTTCATGTAGGCGTAAAATTGCCAACACTTTTGTGACCTTTTTTTCTCTTTGATTTTCACACTGCTATCTTCTCTGCTCCAATTGCCTGATTCGACCTCATAGTAACCTTTTTTTTCTTTGCCACCTGAGCACGCAGAAACAAAATAACCAATCTGCCATTTCGTGCCGGCTCAGCTTCTGCTTAATATATTTTCACTTTTGTCATCTACTGTCACATTTACAAGCATAGATTATACTGTGCATTGTAGCATACTGTGCATGCTAAATCGTCCACTAAGGCTCATCAGATATTTTTCACTGGTAGTGGCAGCTTCAGACACCAGGAAAATACGGAATAAGACACAGTTCTCACAGACAGAGGACAAACCAGCTCCTTAGGTCGGGTTTTTGACCAAAACATCCACCACACAAAGAGATATCAGGGTGATATTCATGTGCAGAAACGATCTTTATTGATATGGACTGTGAACTGTGAGGTTAGATTCCCTGCAGCTTGAAGGACAATGCAGTGGTGTGAGTAGGCATGTGATTCCTATCAATTTGTGCTATAGCACGCACTCTGTACACTTGCATGAATAGAACAGCAGAAAATGAATTAAAACTGTAAGTGACGTGTCAGGATGCAGATGTAATTAGACCGCTCATCTCATACTGATGGGCTTCACCTACCGGAGAGCTGAAATGACTAATAGAGCAAAGTATCTCTCAAACATAAATGACTCTGCAAAAAAACAAAACGATGTAAGCAACACTATAATAGCCCAGGGGAGAGCTAAGATGAAAATGAACTCCTAGAAAATGGAATTTTTATGAAGGCTCTTTTTAACCAACAACTTGTTAACACATGCATTTAGACAGTTTCACAAAGTATTACTCTCTTATTTTTGCAAATATCATCTCACCCTGTCTCACTTAGGCTCTGTGAGGCCTTCAGATAGGAATATTTAGTTTAATAAATCATAACAGCGATTGGATTTGTGCTGACTGAATTGAAATGCTGCCTCATTATATGAAATCACTGACACATGGAGACTGATGAGCCACACATGGAGACAAGAAGTGCACTCTGCTTCCTGAGTGTTTAAGTGGGATTATTTAACAGGTTGCTTTATTATACAATGTAAATTTAATTGATTGCTTAATTATTTAATAGATATTTATTAGATTACTTGATTGCAAATGCATTTTCTTAACACTTTCACTAAAATGTTGATGCCATTGACTGGATTCAGTGTTAGGTGTTGTGCACAGAGGGCTCAAGACGTATCAAGTGTGACTCGTCAGCAACACCACACCTCTGCACCATTTCTTTTCTTTAATTGTGTACTTATAGACCTGTTCTGTTGTTTAAACTGAGACCTGTTATCAGTGTTTCTGTGAATGTGAAAAACACAGAAAGCCGTCTCCTCGAAGTTATCAGTGACACTCTTGTTTTTCAGCATCAGATTAATGTAAGGTACGGATGAAAGAGGCTTCCAGAGAGGATGCCGCAGACATCCATTTTTCGTGCTTCCTGAGCTCAAAAGGATGAGTCTGTCTGAAAAGGAGGGAGCTGTGTGATCAAAACCTATTCACACCTGCAGGGGAGCCTCTGCCACGGCCATTAGGACTTTTGTGCCTCTGGTGAAGATGAGGTTTCTGTCATACAAAAGGGCCAAACAATAAAGAGAGGGAGGACTGTGGCTCACAAGACTTGATAAAGATAGAGCAGGCTTGACAAATGACTTCATCTCCTGATTTTGTGCTCAACGGCTGATTAAACTCCCGTGCATCCTGCTTTCAGAAGCAGACATTACACTTCTAGTTTTTGTGTTTTTGCGCTTATTACAAACATTTCGGCTCATCAACCCATAACCTCCATTTAAAATGAAGCCGTTAATGCTGCCGAGGGCGCATCCATTTTCAACGTGACCAAAAACACTTCAAAGCATCACAAGTGACAGGTACTGCAGTGGATGTCAGCGGGCACCAGAGGATGTTTTAATTCACTGTGACACAGAATCAGCGTTACAGGCCACTTTAGCAACAGCTCAAGTTAAACACACCGCGTCCTCCAGGGGAGGGCGGAGATGGGCACTGGTAAATGCGACTGACGGAAAACAAAAGGGCAAGGGACTGTGTAAATAATGCATAAATGCTTTTCAGCTGCAGTGTAAAACTATAGCTACAGAAAAGGATCAGAGTTAAATTCAGATACAGTCACAAATCCTGCTTATATTCCACAATATCCTGAAAGGGTTTTAAAGGTTTTTAAAGGCTTGAGTTGAGTCTGCAAGGAAACAGACAAATATCCTGCACAGAACACTGTATACTTTAGTTTAATATACTTATACATTAAATAAAGCTTCCTGCAGTATCTGGAATTTACTTTTTAAATCACCTCAGTATATACAAAAATCAACCAGCTGAAACTTGAACTCAACTAGAGAGCTCCAACCATCACCAATCATTTACTGGTGATATCACAATTGATTGGATCAGCATTAAAATACACATTTTGACCAATCAGATGACTGATAACAATCATGTAATGCTTTTAAACAAGGGAACAATATATACACCATACATAGTTGAGGCCTAGCTAATATCTGAGTAATGATCATTTAAATCTGGATATGTTGTGAATTCCTGTTGCTCAATCAAGTCAGTATGATTAGCCTCAACATTAAAACCACCTGCTTCACTTCCTTGTGTAGATCACTGTGATGCTGCCAAAACAAGCTCTGAATTATCAGGGCATCAACACGGGTACCAAGGTGTTAACTGCAGATCCTTTGAGTCTTGTGGGTCAATGTGGGGTCTCTGTGGATCGAGCTTGTTCCAGCACATCCAGTAGATGCTTGATCAGATTGGGATCTTGGGAGTTAGGAGACTGTCCTTAGTCCTGAACAATGTCTACGTGGGTGGTTTGTGCCAAAGCAACATCCACATGTAGGCCAGGACCCAAGGTTTCCCAGCAGAACACTGCCTTGTAACAACATGATTAATGTTATTCGATTCACCCGTACGTGGTGAATCGAATGTTGTGGCTGGTCATTGTATGCTACAAAATCTGCAGATTTCCAGGGACACAGAAAATGGCATATTGTCAGTTCATACATTTGATGAGCCTCTCTGAAAACCAAACACTTCCTCTTCTTATAGGAAGTATTTTTATCAAACTGGTAGACAGATGCACTTCAATATTTAGTACTGCTCACAGTTCAAAGTCGGATTCCTGATACAACATTAATGTCCAGTTTTTCTTCATCACTTCATTGAACTTTTGACTTAAACCTCATTGCTGTCCCTTCTCCTTTGATTTGTCATATTTTTGACTTCAGTGCACTGTTGTCTTTTGTGTTACTAACCACTTCTCTAAAAACAGCAGTAATGAAAATAACATTATTAAAAAGTCCTTGCAGAGGCTAATTAAAAACTTGGACCTGAAATGTACTTGAACTAGATTCCAGCTCATTTGTGACACAGACTATAATTTGATGCACAAAGTAACTGTGACTTTAAAATGGATGATTTACTAAGTCATGAAGGCATAGAGACTTGATCGCTTGTTAATGGTGAGCAACAAGAAGTAAGGATACGTTTTGCCTTAATGCACTACGTAAGTGTTTTGCACCATTAATATAAACTGTTACAAACACTCATACAAATTATTTGCAGCTGAAAATACTGAGAACGCTAAAAGAAAATGCATTTTTCTTTTGCCTGACTTTCTGCCAGATTTCGCCAAAATGTGACATCAGGAGGCGTCTTGCTAACTCGCAAAGACACAACTTTTTCATTTCCTGTCTTATACATAAAGTGTCCAAGAATTTTCTGGTCACTTTCCATCTTCTAGAACACATCATAGTTACATCTTTTCAGTAGGAAACTGCTCTGTGCTATAAGGAGCTCTGTGCTCTTGGCTCTCCAAGCTTAAAGCTCAAGCTGCTGGTCCACTCGGATGTTTTGGCTCCTCTGTTTACACTAGTAAATCCCCATGCTGCAGTCTCTGTGTCAACCTTCCGCTCCAAGCCGGACCAGCCACCCGTTCCTTTATACAACACAGGAAACACAACATAAAACCACAGCCTTGCTCCTAAGGCACAGTTAGGGGACTGAAAGACACTTTGACCCTCTTGCTCTGACCTGTATTGATTTGTGTGTTTTAATATTTTTAAAAAGTAATCTAAGTAATCTCACTTTCTTTTTCTTCATCTTCCTCAACAGTCTCAAGACAACTCTACAGAAAAAGCTGTCCAGCGACTCTGTCGACTTGTCCGGTATCCCTCTATCCACTCGAGATGTACGTCAAGTCGCCTTCTACCTCCAAAACAACAGAGACAGTGTGGTGGCTGTGGACATCAGCTTCACTGAGCTCCACGATGAGAACCTGAGGATTCTCCTGCCTCTTCTGGCCTCACTGCCCAAACTCAGCACCCTGGCTCTCAACGGGAACCGCCTCACCCTGGCTATACTCAAAGACCTCACCGAGATGCTCAAAGACCCCAAGATGTTCTCCAGCCTGGCCTGGATCGACCTGGGCAATAACGTGGACATTTTCACCATGCCTCAGCCGCTGCTGGTCGCATTGCGTCGGCGCTGCAGCCTGAAGAGCAGCCTGCCTACTATCTATGAGTACACAGAGGGCCAGCCCTACTGCTACCACCTGGAGACTTCCATTGAGGAGCCCAGCCACTACGAGGAGGAAGAAGAGGAGGAGGAAGAGGCGGAAGTTGATGAGGAAGATGTAGAGAACAAATTTGAGTTGGAGCCGTGGGGTTTAGGGGAAAAGCAGGTCTCCAAAGACTTCACCCTTCACTACTGTGAAAGGTGATGGGGTATTTTCTCTCTGAGGCTTCAACTGTGGTTGAAATGTCGTCCCACAGCACTCCGTTACTTCCTTCGCCTTCTTGCCCTCACACCACGAGCCCAGCCACCCTTTGAGGCACAAGGGAGACCAGTGCCCACATTGTGAACTTCTTGTCCTGACACGGCTACCAAGCTATTCCTAACCATCTCTGAGTTAACCCACACAAGATAGTGACAATGAAGTGACAGCCTCAAAGGCGGACTTACTGTGTTGGTGGATGGTGCTCTTGGGAACAAGGTGCGGTTTCATTGGAGGGGGGCTGGAAGAGTTAATGAACCAGTGCTCTCTCTCTCACTCTCTCCTTCCCACTCACTCTCTCTCTATGTCTGATGGTGGCAGCTGAGGAGCCAATCTCAAGGAGATTTAGATCAGTTGGTCGGATGGAGGAGCAGCATCCCAGCGGTAGCTGAAGTGGAACTCGAGTTAGTTTGGAAACAGTGGGTCCCTCTGGGTTCTGTACCAGGACTGAGACTATCTCTGGCAGGCAGGGCCTAGCTCCACATTGTGTGTTCTCTGTTAATCTCTCAACAAAAGCTATGACACAAGTTCAACAGACTATACAGCCGACGACCCATCACGTGACGCCGGCAAAACTGCTAGGTCGACTTTTTGCGTTTTCCCCCCCTTTCCAAATGTCCACTTGTGAATACCCACGCAGCCCTTGTGTAGATGTAAGTGAGGGCACAAAACATGGCCCTGTTGTGTTTCCACGGGCTATTTTTGTGCACTTTGGTGAACAAAGCAATCTTAGAAGACAACAGGTAGGACTCAACAATGGATAGCTGTCACTGATTGTTTTTGTACTTGCCTAAATGCTGATATTCACCTCTTTGTAATTATTGAGCTGTTGTAGTAATCACCACATTGTTTCAGCAAATTTATGACACTACAGCCAACTGTTAATATGGGCCACTGAGTAAGAGCTGTGCCCAAACTGCCCTTCCTACTGCCGTTTGTCTCTACAGATGTGTCGTCATTTCCATTTATTGATGTTAGACTTCTATTTGTTATGAGACACAGCCATGACTGTTATCTATTGGTTATATCCCGTCTACAGTAGCACATAACAATTAAGTTAGACTGAGCAAAATACTACAATGCACTTTAAGGCTCTATTCTTTTAATATTCACATCCACCACAGCATATACTCAGTGTACATTGTTTATAAGTAGACACATTTGCAAAGCAGAAGCTGAAAGTATACCTCTTTAAGAAGAAACGATGACCAGATTGCTCATGATTGTTTGAAGGATCATTAAAATCAGCATCACCAGATATATAATAAATGTTTAATGTGTGTTACATGTGTTTGTAACAGTAAATTGTCCGATTGCTGCTGTAATTATTTGTGTTATTGTTTCGGTGTTTTGTCTCTTGTCCAATTCAGTGATTATTAAATGATTCTAATGACCATGAAACTGAGCCTAGTGACCTCCTGCTGTAAAAGCTTGAGCAGCAAACAAAAGGGAACATGATTGATGGGATTATGCAATAAAGCAGAAGACAGTTCATGTAATTTGCAGTCAGAGCGGACACCATTCATGTCGAATGTTCTGAATGATGGAGAGTGCTGTCCACTTGGTTTGTAGTTTATGTTTCATGTGTCAATGTCAAACTTTTCCTTGTTGTAACCTGTGTGTATTTGTCTCATGCCAAACACTGACTGCCAATAAAAGAACCAATTCAAACTGAGAAGTGATTTCTGGTTTATTTGGACTATTTCTACAAGATAGATAGAGCGCAATGAAAGGTGGCAACATCTGGGTCACCAGTTGAACCCGCAGCTGCTCACAGAAGCAAAACTGAGGATTTATTTATGCAGATTAGTCTGCAAATAGGGCAATAAAAGAAATCAGCTTGGACCGCGCTGGTCGGGATTGGTTGTTGGAGTGTTGCGCTTGTTTCTGAGCCAGTGGATCATCTGTGTCGCTGTGTGCTGTCAGGGAAATGCCTGAGCCACCGCTGCTTGCCAGGGAAAGCCAGGGTGGTCATCGCATGAGGCCCTACCCATGATCCTCTCCTGGCAACCTTTTGTTCCTGCTGCCAGACATGGTAATGTGGCATTTGCAACAGGTGGCTCCTATAAGGTCAGGGCACAGTGTGACTGTCACACCCCCTGAGGTCCAAATACCATGTGACAGGGCAACACAGCCCACCCTAAAAACCACCAAGAGCTTATCATTTGACCTTTTCCTTTCAGGATTGATTTATTTCCCTGTATTATGAGTAAAATAACAGTTTCCTCTATGGTAATGTGGACATTGATTGTGAGGTGTAGGCCTTTGAGCCGACAGAAAGTGCATCAAACTTTCACTTAGGACACTGCTCCCGTGTTTGTATGAGTCACCACTGGATGTGACTATCCTGCTCCAGCTGCTTCATGCCTCGGCACAAAAGTGAAAAATAATTTATGAAAAATAGCACAGTGAAGTCACACAGACTGCTCTGAATATAGTTTGGCACAGAGGACTGGCTTTACAGAGCAGATTTCAATGGCAGTGACCTGAGGTTAGAGGGATTGCCCGGCCAGCTGTGGGCCACGTTGATGCATTCAAGAAAAGGCTTTCAATAACTGGCTGTATTTCAAACCTAGACCGTCATCACAAGTTGTTTATTTTTGTCTTTTTGTTTATTATATGTTCTTTTCTATTTATCTATTAAAGTCTTTGTCCCCTTAACCTGTTATTATATTTTTCCCCCCGACTTTGTCACTAAACATCTTAACTGCAAAAGACACATAAAGTTTTAGGCACTTTCTATCTTGTGTTATACAGAGTGGTTTAAAAATGGCACAGATTATCAGCATTTCTATAAAATGTATTAAGTAATATATTCAAAAAAACAAACCTGTTTTACCCAGGTTGTGATAGTTGCCCTTCTAAATATAGACATCTAGGACATTTTTCTATATAAACTGCATCCGAAAAGCATATTTTGAGATGTATTCAGATGTTCTACCACAGTATTTCATTGTTATACACAAAACATATTTAAAAAACGGGGGGGTGGGGGGTATATTTCATTTGAATAATACAAACAATGCCCATATTTCATTCACTGTATGCACAGTCAAGCTAAAAAGGGGGAAAAAAACCCTCCAGTAATAAGGGTGTGAATACCAAATAATACCAGACACAAACCACTTATTAATTGATAAAAATCTCCTGTTTTGCATATGACATATTAACATAAATGTTTTATCAAGTTACTTATGTGATGGAATGAATAAACAGCACTAGAATTCTTCCCTATTCTACAACAGAAACATGTAAGAAATGGCAATAGTGGCAGAAACGAGATAAAAATGTCTACAAGCTGAACAGAGGATTCAGAGGATGTCAGCGACAGTCACAGATAAGAGCTGTTGTTTCTTCTTGTGCAACAAAATCCATCATGTCATCGTTTCAGTCAGTTCTGGTCATAGACCATGTGTTCGACTGCGACATGTTACCGCAGGTGTTCAGCAGAAAAAGCCTGTTATTCAGCGTCTTGTCAATGATTTTTCCAGCAGGATAGACACCATCTGCTGCAGGTTTTGTGGTTTTGTGGCCGCAGGAAGGTCTCTGTAACATTCAGGTGCATCATGTATAAAAACCACTACTGACTCTTGGTCTCAGTAACCGGCTGCTTTACCCAATTTCCTGGCGTCTGACACTGCACAGATACAGCCGCCCTCCTTCTCCACAGCGTTCACCACGTTGTAGAATTTCTGTCCTGTTTGCTGATTGTGTCCCAGAGCTTTAAGAGCCTCTATTACATCCTGAAGGGGGAAGAGGAGAAGGGGGGCTCAGATGCAACAGAAGCCAGCATGATGTGTTATTTCATCAAATAAATACAGTGAATGTATTACCTTATCAAAGCCGGGTTCAAATTTAACTGCATTTTTAGAGTCGACAAAAACAACCGGAGTAGCAATCGCCTCCTTAAGGCTCTTTCCAAACCAAAGGTGGTTCATGAGTGTCTGGAAGAGGAAGTAGAACAATACATTACAGTCTACCAGATGGGAACGTGATGATTACAGAATAGATTATGGACACGGTGAAGACACTTGTGAAGACAGCATTTGCTATGACAACAGTGAGGGGCATTAGTCTGCTGCAATTTATCTTAATGGCACTTAGTGTGATTGCCATGGACACATACTGAGGCTATCCCAGTCGTGATCATACTCCCACCAGTCGATCCAATCACCAGCGTCTTCAGCTGAGACTTCAGCACAGCGGGAGCCATAGAGGAAGGAGGCCGCTCCCCTGAGAACACAACAAAAGCCGTGACTGACAGGACAGACAACTGCTATTCAGACTCATCAATGTGAGGAGAACAAGAAGAAAATGATTATAAATGCAATCAGTTGAGGGCCTTTGAATGATGTGAATCCGAGAGTGAAGGGCATTCATTCAACCCTGACATGTGCTTTTACTTTTCTGAAATCACACACATCTTGAACACTGAAGTGGCAATAGACGTGGTTTTTTTTTTTTTAGCATTAACTTATCATTATGAAGTAAATGTTGATAGCACAATGGAATGCCTATAGGTTGGTGTTTACATTGTTATCCTCAGCCTGGCTTTGCAAATCTGTTCTGCCATGGTGTCTAAAATCGCTAAAGAAAAATAAAACCTTGATTCATGGCTGAATTAACAAATGTAATAATTGTAGAAACTGTACTTGGCAAAAGAAAAAGAGCCCCACTGTAAAGAAGAAAGAAGGAAAAGGAGAGGGAGAGCTGAGGCAAAACAAGACTAGACCTCAGACAGGACTTGAGAGGGTTAAACACCAGCATTTAGTTAGCATTATTTCTTCGAGATCAATAATAAATGAAATGAAATGAAATTAAATGAAATGAAATTAAATGAAAAATACTTCATTTAAAAACCTGGCTGCTTATAAGTGGCAACAGACCACTTTTCAACACCTGCCACTGCTGTTGCGAAGACTAAAAAAAAGAAGCTCCTAGTTTGTCTTCTGGATGCTGGCAAACAGTTCGACTATCTTCCGAAACAAGAAACAACCCTGAGAGTCCCAATTTAAAATAGAAACCCCAGTGCTATGATAAAGTCAGAGTAAATGCCTGGTTGTATTAACTCTATGAGCCCGAGGCGATTTTCAGGGTAATTTCACTGCCTTTCCTTTTAAGCTCTTATCTTGACCAGAATATTCTACGGGCTAGTCATACATGCTGTATCTTGTTTTCTTTTTTCTTTTTTTTTTAAACACAAACTAAGCTCTCCAGATCTCCCATCATTTGATATCATATTACCTGCAGTTTTTTGTTTATTTTTTTTTTTAATATGAGCATTTATAGGACAGAAAAATAAATTCATATTATGAAAATGTCTCACCATAAAATGCAGGTTGTCTGAAATCTAGAAATATCAGAACCATGATGTCGGGACACTATGACTTAGAAACTGGGAAAAACATGTGCTTGTGTATGAAAGAAATAACTCATTATGTTATTCACTGAAGTGTTCACATATAGTAGCCTACCTGCAGAGGTGGCAAACAAGATAAATGTTTCTAAAGTCTACAGTTTTCACTGTCACCACCTTTTTTGACCACGGCTTTTGAATTTTTGCAATGAAAATAAAATCCATTATTTTGTGTTTACTCCAAAGTGGAATGTATTGCCAGCCTTTTGTTGGGGATAGTGCAGAAATCTGCCGTAATTTCAAACCCGGACTACTTTTTGGCACACAGCGAAACTCTTTGTTTTGACATGTGGTAAACCTGCATCATAAACTACTACACTTCACATCATAATCAACCAGGAGTGAGAAACTGGGTGAAGAAATTAGAGAAGATGTTACTCTGTAGAAGTTGTGTCTTCATAATGTTACTACTTTAGTGTGTACAAATATGTAATATATTATCAATGCAATGATTGCATTCAAGTTCATGAGTAATGGATTTGGAGACTGGTCCAGAGCTATATATAGTTTGTAACTATGATTAAATTTGATGTAAATTTCAAATATTCTTTTCTTGCTGACACTTTGTCACACACATAAGTAAAAAGCAAGAAGGGAATCTGAATGCCAAGTGTGTCTGTCACTCTCTCACGGTTACATTAAATATGAACCCTAACCCTACAGTATTACTAATTATGCATATTTACCTGACTAATTCAAACATTATGATTAAGACCCTGCAAAATTATATGTTACACAAAATAATCTGACTTACTTAAATGTAAAGGTTATTAACCTATAATATTGTATATTCAACAAATTTAAGGACAAATTTAAGAATTGAAGTTAAGATCCTGCAAAATTATAGATGGAACCCAAACAAATCTACAGATTTCCGATGAGGAAGTATAATGATGACTATGGAGATGGAAAACTCTCTTTTAGCAGGAAGAAACCTCCAGCAGAACCAGTTTCAGGGAGGCCGACTATCTGATTCAACCAGTTGGAGTGAAGGTGAAGGGTTTTGTTTAGAAATGGTGCCTGAACTCAAACTAGTTTTTCTCATTTCAACAGCTGAATAACTGCCTCTCACCAAAAGGAAAACTGGCTCCAGAGTGGCGCCAACACATTGCTGGTCCAGAGCCAAGAACCACTTAGATCAGGGGCTTGGGGCCGGATTATCATGACCAACAGGACCAACTAAAACACAGCTAGTCTGCCTAATCCAAAGAGGGAAAACCAGAGCTTCAACGTGGACGTGTAATCAAAGCTGATGCAAAACAGACGATGTCATTAGTTGTCTCATTTTCTCAGCCACTCAGTGTTTTAATATTGGCAGCTGGCATTTATAAATGCTGCTGCACGCTGGGCTGTAGAGCAGCGTTAACCAACACAGACTTTGCAAACACCATCGGGCAACAATAAAACATCAAATGGCACATAAAATAAGACAAATAATGGCCTCATTAGTTATTCAGCACTGGTCTCTATGAGAGACAAAATGTCTTGTTGCACTGTGGTCCTCAGCAGAAGTTCAGAGCAAACTACAGCTAACATTTGAACAGACATATACAGGGAAGTAGTGATGTATTTCTATAACCTGTGTAAAAGCAAACCAGTTCTTAGAGGGTTCACAGGTTAGACTATCTCAATACTAGCACCTACTTCACATTGGTGGAAAGGGGGTACAACCTACATGCCAAGTACCTTGAAAAACTCATTGCAAGTTTGCCTGGTAGAACTGATGCTACTTTAAAGGTAAAATGTGGCCACAAATGTGGATTTGATTCAGGTTTAATCTTTTTATTGCACTTTATGTAAAGTTGACTGATAAAAAAAAAAATCTATAAGGCATTCAGTTTAAAAGCATCCTCACTAAACTGTTTGTGCCTCAAACTTTTGCACAATACTATACCCGGATTAATTGTGTTTAACTAGAAAATGCCTTGTGCTCATCTGATTACCAGGATTAATTCTCTCAACTCTCCCACAGAAGTCGGACAGCTGGTTGTTGAGGATGACTCCAGTGCTCGGGGAGAAAATCTTGGAGCCAAATCTGCAAAGAAGAAACATTAAATGAACTGGATTTAGACGCTGTGACATTTGTAACACCAACTCACTCCTTGAAGTAGAGAAATATGACATTGAGCAGCCTCTAAAAACTGCGCTTCCTCTTTTGGTTAATAATGACTGGAATCATTGGAGAGATTTCTTTTCTAAATCCTTCTACAAAAACACTTATTCCTTAATCTCTTAAACCTTTTTTAATCCTTTCAATTCAAAGGAACAATAATATATAATAGCTGGCTTCTGAATGTGAAGCACTCTTCAGATACTGACATGTAGTTGATGGTGCTGGTGACGGACACAGCGGATCCATCTTCAGCAAGCACAGACACATGTGTGGTGCCCATACTGTCCAGGTGCGGTGTGATGTTGTAGTACTGGGGATCGTGAGTCTTGTCGCTGCTGATCAAGCTCCGTATGTGGTTTGCAAAGCTATCCTTTTTGAATTTCTGTGGCATCTGTGAGAAGCATGGAGCATTTAAAAACACACATCACAAAAGAAATACAGATATTACAAGAAAAACATGCATAAGAGCTCATATGGATAGGGGTATGCAGCCCATTTTCAATTCTTTCCATCAGTTTTTCTACTGTTTCTGTGTGAGAATGACCAGGCTTATATGAAAATGAAGACATGCTTAATTGGAAAACTTTCAGGCAAGACTCAGAATGTATATATGTGCAGAATCTTGGTGTTCCTCAGGGATTGGTGCTTGGAACACTTATTTGTTATATACCTCCTTCCCAATGCAAATATTTCTAACCACTGTTTAATACATTTTCACCGCTATGCTGATGACACCCAACTTTACATTTCCATAGAACACCTCATTTACCCCCTCGGCCCTCACCAGCTATCTTGAAGCCATCAAGATGTACATGTCAAACTTAGGAAATAAAAGCAAGGGTCTCCTCATAGGCTCAAAGACCACACTTTCCAAAAGTCTCCCTTTCACGATATTTACTGAAGACTGTCTGATCCACATTTTCCCCCAGATCAAAAGTCTTGATGTCATACTTTATGGCATGCTTTCCTTTTGACCCCCACATCAGTAACATCTTCTGTACTACCTATTTTCATCTACGCAACAGTACCAGACTTCATCCCTCTCTCCTAACACAGCACTCAAGCCCTTATCCTTTTCATTCAGCTCCACCTGCTCCCTCTTCAACAACAGAACAGATACATTACAGGATTTTACTGCTCACCTTCAAAACCCTCCATAACCTGGCTCCCCCTTACCTTTCAGACCTGTTCCATCCCGACACCCCCTCCCACGCTTTAAAAGCTTCCTTTGCCGCTCTGATGTCTGTCCTGACTTTTAGACTCAGCACCATGAGTGCCAGAGCCTTCAGCTGCTCTTCACCACGACTCTGGAACTCACTACTGCTACTCATCCATCAGCTGGACTCTATTGTACAGGTTAAATCAAAGCTCAGAACATAACGCATTTGTTTAAAATGCCATATCTATTATAATTCTGGTATAATCTGTTGCTGTCATAGCCAAATAATCCTATTCTTCTTACTTAAGTATTGTGTTGTTATTCTTGTTTATTATTATTATTATTATTAGTAGTAGTAGTAGTAGTAGTAGTAATAGTCGTAGTAGTAGTAGTAGTAGTAGTAGTAGTAGTAGTAGTTGTAGTAGTAGTAGTAGTCGTAGTAGGAGTTGTAGTAGTAGTAGTAGAGGTAGTAGTAGTAGTAGTAGTGGTTAGTCAGTCATCATCATGTTAGGGATAACATCATATCAACAATGAGTGGACAGACGTTACAAAGTTCTCTTTTAAATGCATGTAAAACACAAATATTTAACCCCCTCCCCCCAAAAAAAAATAAATAAATAAAATAAAATAAAGATATTTTAGCAAAGTTTTGTGTTGGAATTTATGTTACTCTATATTTTAACATCATGGTTTCAATTTTTACTGCAAATGTATTAGTTCATCCTTTCTTAGTAACAATCAATATTGTTATCAGCACTAAAATTAATTATTGTTATTATTATTAACATTAACCTGCAGTTACAAAATGCATTTATTAGAAATCTGAGGATGTCAATATGACAGCTCATTACATTACAAAAATCACCAGTGACCAGATAAGTCTGTTTCTGGTGCAACTGCCAGCAACTAAGGGCTAACAACAGCACCATGACGAACTAATAACACAGGCATAAACTAATAAAACGCAGCAACAAACAAAGTTATTTCTACTCAAGTCAAACCATGTCATTGAATTGTCAGCTCAAATAGGGGTCAACACCTGTACTTTCCCTACTGGAGGAGAGACACAGCTTGATGCACACACATTCCTTGGATCATCACAACAATACAACAAACAGTTGCATTCAAGTGTGATAGCTCAGTTTGTTTGTAAGTGAGACAAACTAAGCCTCACTCAAACTCATTTAAGAGTCTTGAGCAGTAGTTAGCTGGGTTATTCAGAGTTTTCAAACAAAGCATACGATAAACCTCAACCAACTACAGGTTGGCTTCAAAATCTGCAAATTGACACTTGTTACTGATTATACTTCTACACTGTAACCTCAAGCATATTTATACTGTTGCAAGTGAGGGATCTAAAAATTTCTTCTGCCAAGGGCTAAAAGTTAGGAATAAACTATAATGTACATGTTTAGAACTGCAGCATGTGAAGATCCATGCACAAATGATCGCTGTAGCATTTGATACTTACTTCTTCTGAGTTGAACTGTGGATCCCGGATGTGTTTCTTTAATCCATTGGCAAATTTAAAAGCTTCAACATAGTAGTGATAAACCAGCTTCTTTTGTTCACCAGTGAGAGATGTTGAACTCAAGTGATATCCTGTAAATAAAAGCAGCTCTTTATTTATTTATTTGTGCTCCATGCTTAGTGTATCCTGCTTCCAAAGGTTGGTTGGGATTATAACACAGCACACGTCAATATTTTTTAGATAAAAATCTAATTGAAGCATTAATTTGCCTGGTTGTTTTCAACATATAAACTCATCTAACAAGCTTCATTTTGTGGTTTGAAAGTGTAGATGAGCAGCAGCTCTGCAGTGTGAGATCAACAGAAACCTTTCATGATGTTGAGGATGAGGCTGAGGATGATTCCTCCTGCAGGGGGTGGGGGTATGTACATCTGGTACTCTCCCAAAGGAACAGCCCACGCATCAGTCACTGTAGCTCTGTACGATGCCAAGTCCTGCAGCGTGAGCGTTCCTCCTGAGCAAAAACATTGAAACAAATGGTTCTGATAAGCAAAACTGAACAAAAGGCATCTCTGCCCCACATAATCAAGACATTTAATGGATCCAGGCAGCTCACATAGGAGTCTGTGAGTGATCTCTGCAGTGTTTTACAGACCCAATTGATTTGTTCATTTGTAATTAGATCATAGTGCCAGGCAGACATAGAAAATTGTTGGAAAAGAGAGCATGATGAAACCCGTCTGACAATACCTGCCTCCTGTATTTCACGGATTAAATCCTCTGCTATTCTTCCAGTGTAAAAGGCGTCTGCCCCGTGATTTGCAATCAGCTCCAAAGTGTCAGCCAGTTTCTCAAATTTCACTGTATCACCGACCTTAAGCAAGTTCCCATTTTTATCTGAAAATAACTTCCTGAAGAAGAAACACGATGAAGGTTAGGTGAAATGTTCATCTTTACGCTCCTCATGTTTTTATAATTACACATTGTTGGCATCTTTCTTACCCTAGTGACCGGGTCTTGTTTGCATCAATGTGAGCGACGTATCGACCTTGGATTGGAGGAACAGGGAACCCTTTTCTGGCCAGTTGGATGGTTGGCTGGAAGAGAGTGGCCCATGGCAACTTCCCATAAAGCCTGTGGGCCTCTTCATAACCCCGAATTTCCCCTGGGACCCCAATCCACTGGCTACCTGGACAGATGGATGAAAGGATGGTGAATTGGAAAAGAGCATGTACAGTGCTCAGCAAATTTATTAGACCATCTGTCAAAATTGTTCAGTATATATATATGTGTGTGTGTGTGTGTATGTGTGTATGTGTGTGTGTCTGTGGGTGTGTGTGTGTGTGTGTAAACTGTCAAAAAAGACACATCACTTTTTTTTTTTCTCACTGTCTGACATTAAATCAGACTAAACTTTTCCTGCTTTAGGTCAGTTAGGATTACCAAAATTATTTATATTTGCTAAATGCCAGAATAATGAGAGTCAGAAGTTTCTGTACACTAAGATTACTATACCTTCAAACTATTTGGGAAAGTCCAAATGATGATTGCATGGCTTTGGAAGCATTTTAATAGGTTAAAAAAAAATTTAAAAC